CATCCAGGGTTGTTTAGACCTGGGTCTCCACACTGAGCCATGGTTTCCTCTCCTTCTCCACCCTCCACTCGGCTTCTCTCCTGGGGGTAGGATGGCTGCTAAGACCTATTTGAGCCCACTCTTTCCTCATTAATTCCCTGAGGGGAGAGAGAGAAGATTCCTCGGATGCCTCTGACTTAAAGGCAATGAAGGACTTTCCCAGAAGCCCTTGTTCTCATTGGTTCAAATTCGGTCACATGTCTATCCCTCATTGGTTCAGAATGGGTCATGTGCCCAGTCACTGACATAAAGGATAGAATTACCCTTAGATGATCAGACATCCGCCTACGATTGGAAACAGAGTCAGCTTCCCTGACAACACGAATTGATGAAGTATGTGTGTGTGGGGGGGGGATGGTGTAGTGGGGGGGTTCTACTAAGAAAAAGAAAGAGACAGTGATACTGAGTCAACGACAACAAAAGGTGCATAATGTCTAATTTAAATCCATCACTTTAAAAGTGAGTTATCTTTTCTTGCTACAAAAGTAATGTAGGTTTAAATTTTAATTTTTTTTTAATAATGAAATATCTTCTATACCCCTGTCACCCAGACTCAACAGTTAACTTTTGCTGAGGGTACTTAGGAGATCCTTCCTTTCTTTCTTTTTTTTTTTTAAGATGTTGAGGGTAGGAGTTTATTAATTAATTAATTTTTTCTGCGTTGGGTCTTCGTTTCTGTGCGAGGGCTTTCTCTAGTTGTGGCAAGCGGGGGGCCACTCTTCATCGCGGTGCGCGGGCCTCTCACTATCGCGACCTCTCTTGTTGGGGAGCACAGGCTCCAGACGCGCAGGCTCAGTAGTTGTGGCTCACGGGCCTAGTTGCTCCGCGGCATGGGGGATCCTCCCAGACCAGGGCTCGAACCCGTGTCCCCTGCATTAGCAGGCAGATTCTCAACCACTGCGCCATCAGGGAAGCCCCAAATTTTAATTTTAAGAGAATATTTATAGCCAGAAAGAAGAAAGTAAAAGCCACCTTAATCCCACTACCTCTGAGAACCATTAATGATATGATACAAGCATACTTTTAAACAATAAAATAAATATACTCTGCAGACACAGTACAGCATAATGGTGAGCAATACAGACTCAGGTAGCAACTTCCTGGTTCAGCTACTCCTTGTCTGTCTTTGTTGGGTTAACTACTTAGCTTTCCTGTGCCTAAGCTTCTTCTTCCCTGTAATGGAAATAACAGTACCTGTATAAGTTCGTCCAGCACTAACCCTCTAGTTCAGAGGTTGGCAGTCTACCGCCTGCAGGCCAGACCTGGCTTGCTGCCTGTTTTGTAAATAAAATTTTATTGGAATCCAGCCACAGCCATCCATTTATATATCCACTTATGTCTGCTTTCACAGAGCAGTGGTACAGTCAAGTAGTTCCAGCAGAGACCTGATAGCTCACACAACCAAAAGTACTTACTATCTGGCCCTTTGCAGAAAAAGTTGGCTGGGTTAGACCATCAGAGCTCTATTGTCTTGTCAGAATTTAACATGTCATAATTCTGTGGTCATGTAGTAACTTAACTAGCCTGGAGACCTGATCAGGAAAAAGTGACATCTGCAGAGCAAGAGGCATTTATTTTATGAGTTAGAAAGAGTTAAGAACCATGAAGAGCTGAAAAATCTACAAAGGTGTTTAAGTGTCAAATTATCTCTCTGAATTGACTAGAGATCTTGAAATATGTGAAGTTGGATTTCCCTTAAACTCTGGGATGTTGACGTTGGATGGACCAGAATGAAAGTAATTTGTTCAGTCTTATCTAAGACATACGAGTCATGGCTATAGGCAGAAAATAAGAAGATTGAAGAGGAAATAAAAGAGAGTCCATAATAAATTGTTTTGAATATTGCTTTTGAAAAGAAAGGATTGTCCCTATCTGTGTGGTCTGAGTGAACAGTGACGTACATGTGTGTACGTGAGCAGAGCTGTCGGCTCTCCCTGGAGAGAAGAGAACAGTCTGAGATGAACATGACCCAGGTCTAAGTTGTGGAAAAACCCTAAGTGAAAAGATGAGAATCACTGGAATAAGTGATACATTCATGGAGGAAAACGGCTCTCATATGATGAGTGGCTTTAATCTTGAATTTAAAGGTCCTCAAAATCTAAATTATTTTAATCAAGGCCAACTTTTCCATAAAACAGTGTTTTAACTAAAGATTAAATACTTGGTCAAGTGCATAATGTCCTTCTTTAAAATTATACAGAAGTCACCGTCGACTACAAAGAAGTTTTCTAGAATAAAAAGCTTTTTATACAGCCAGCAATGCAGTGAGAGGATTAAGAACAGAGGCTCTCCATCAACTGCCTGGATTTCAAATCCTAGCTTAGCCACCTTCCTTCTATTGAATCCTTAGTGTCTTAAGCCTTGTTTTTCTTATCTATAAAATAGGATCAATAAAAGTACTAACTTTAGAGAGTCTCGATGAGAATTAAATGAAATAATTCATGTAAAGTACTTAGCCCAGAATCTAAGAAATATTGCACACTCCATAGAAGTTAGCCATTTTAATGTGGGCAATATATAGAAACTAATTGTGAAAAACATTTTGATAACCTACCATGTAATAATATACAGTCATCCCTTGGTATCTGTGGAATATTGGTTCCACGACCCTCTGCAGATACCAAAATCCTCGGATGCTCAAGGCCCTTACATAGAATGGGTCTCAGTTGATGCTCTGTATCCACATGTTCTGCATCCACAGATTCAACCAGTCACAGGTCCCACGGTTGGTTGAACCCACAGATGCAAAACCTGTGGGTGTGAAGAGCCAACTGTATTGTGATATACTGAGTTCTTTCACTTACGGTATTTCTGCTTTATTTTTGGAGCAGCAAAGTTGAAGGTAGGGGTCTTAGAATTTCGGGGATTAGCTCAGGGAACATTTTAATAAGGATTGTATTAGTGACAGTACAGGTCGACTTGCTGCTGAAACACTGCAAAAATACAGTGACAAAAAAGAGAAAAGTTTCTTTTTCTTTAACATGCCCACCCAGCGTTGAGTAGCCCGGCGCTAAAGGCAGCTCTGTTCCATGAGGTCCTCTAGGACCCAGGTTCCATTTATCTTGTTTCTCCTTCTTCGCCTGCAATAGGTTGTATAATCAAAGCCATTTCACCAGCATTGTCTTCTTCCATCCTTCAGGAAGGGAAGACAGTGAATGAAGAGCAAGCCATTTCCTTTTTAAAGGATGGGGCACAGAGCTTGTACACATGGCTTCTGCTCCCACCTCATTGCTGAGATCTTAGTCACTGGGCCACCGTGGTTGAAAGAGAGGCTAGAAGATATGACTTTAGCTAGGCTGCCATGCCCCCAACTAAAATTCCATGGGTTCTGTTATCAAAAGGGAGATGAAAAGAATGGATGATGGAATCAATTAGCAGTTTTCCACTGGTGTTGGTAACTACTAATACTGCTTCATTGACCCCTAGATACTGTTAATTTTGAGACACATCATCATTTTATGCAACACTCAGTAAGAAAAACCATGCTATTGAAACTGGGCACATTGCTTTCTTATCAGCCGAGTTGTAGGACACGTCCTAATTTCGAGATTTTTCAGCTGTGAAGAGTGTGTGTCTTGGTATAGAAGAAATACAGTACTGGAAAGACTTAGGAAAAGAAAGTGATCTAAAGACATCCATTTTTCAGTCTTCTTCTGTGTGTGTGCCTTTCCTTGGGGCAAGCATAGGCAGCAGATATGCACCTTTAGGTGACCTGTTGAGCGTAATGTTTAGAACAGGTGATTGACAAGGTATTGTACTATCCGCGTGAATTTAAGTCAAATTCCTATGACGGCTGGTAGAGGGACTTTTGACTCAAAGTCTTGGGGAAAAGTTGCCTAGATTTTCACTCATTCTGGACCGGATCTGGAGTTGAGTAAACAGACAGTGAGGGTCCTGTTTTTGCTAGCCAGGGTTCTCACTTAACAGAAGGACAAAGACCGAGGGCTATAGTCTGAGGGAACAGACATGGCCATGGCACTTGACTTCCTGTCTCAACATTCAGTCATCACCCAAACACTGGCTGAACACCAAGCACTTTGCTTGGTGCCACAGCGCAGTCCCTGCCCTCCAAGAACTCCAGAGCTCATGCAGGGAGAAAAATAAGTAGACCCGTAAAGGCATGCAGTTGCATATGGGCTATGATAGAAGTCTGGTAAGTAGACGCACGGACTGGAGATCATCAGTTCCCAAGAGCTCCCAGTGGCAGGGAAATCAAGACTGGGGAGGTGTAAGGACTCTTCAAGCAGAAGTAACAGAATATACAAGTGTATGGAAACATGAAACAGTGGTCACTTCAAGGGGACTGAGTTATGATCCCTTTGGCACACAGGACTAGAAGCAGTGGGTATGTCCAGCTTTGTTTCCCTTACAGTGCCTTATACATAGGAGGCAAACAGCAATATTGGTTTAATCGAATTAAAGAAAAGGCCAACTTCTTGGATGGCCAAATAGAGACGAGCTGAATTTTCCTGGATCAAAAAGATGCCGGATTCCAGTAAATGGACGGAAGCAAAAAGATACCTTTGGTGCCATGCTTGTTTGGGAACTTACTGTTATTCTAGCTTATTTGGCAACTTAAGGTTTGAGGATTTAATGGATAAAGGAACTTGTTTGGAACTGCTTTCACCAGTTTTATGCTTATTTTCTCCAATTTAATAAATGCATAAGTGTATTTTACTTTAGAACACACCTTTTATCCTTGTTTACCCAGAGCATATAGTACTGCTGGTATTACCGTAAGAATAGATTCTCAATGCAGCAAGTACATCTTTGTGAATTTGACCTCTTACAAAGGCTAGAGAATCAAACTTCTTATTCTCAAGTTTTAAGATGTAATAACGAAAGACCCTGGTCTGTTCAGTAAGATCATCTGGTAGCTTTGAATCTGGTCAATGACAAATCTATAATATGCAGATGTCTCTTGCTGTATATTGCTACTGAAATCTGCTTCTCTTATATAGATCACTGTTACAGATGAGGAAGTTAGTAATCCATCCTTTTTAGATCTGGTGAGAACTCCCCAAATGAGGAAGTGCACACTTATACTTATGTTTGCTTGGTAAGTTTGACTTGTGATGGATTCAAAAGCTTGTGTCAAATTTACAATGCATCCCGTCCTTCAGATCAGGTTGAAGTTATCTCTTACTTGTTCTCCCTTGTCTTTCAATGTTGCTCCAGGTTCACAAGTGCTGTGGTTTATCAAGGACTTGTCATGCGCCTGGGAATTACAGGAGGCAACCTCTATATCGACTTTTTCATCTTGGGAGTTGTGGAACTGCCAGGAGCCCTCTTGATCTTACTAACCATTGAGCGTTTTGGTCGGCGCCTACCCTTTGCGGCAAGCAATATAGTGGCAGGAGTGGCGTGTCTTGTCACTGCATTCTTGCCAGAAGGTAATTGTCCCCTAAGTCTGTTTGGCAGCCAAGAACTTGAAAAAAATCTTAAAATAATCAAGAATGGAGAACTTGTCTTTAGAAAATGGACCATAGCATCAAAATCGTAGTGCCAGTCGTGCTCTAGTGATGTCACTCTGTTTTCTGCCTAACCAGCCTAACTACTTTGAGTATAAAAGATTGGTTCTATAGATTTTTCTGTTTTCTCCATTTCTCAGTTCATTTATGGATGAAATAGATGTGAGAAATCTAGCTTGGAGTGATGTAGTTTACTTTTTAAAAAATTTTAATTGAAGTATAGTTGATGTACAATACTATAAGTTTCAGGTGTACAATATAGTAATTCATAATTTTTAAAGGTTATACTCCATTTATAGTTATTATAAAATACTGGCTGTATTCCCCGTGTTGTACAATATATCCTTGTAGATTATTTTATACCTAATAGTTTGTACCTCTTAATCCCCTACCCCTATGTTGCCCCTCCCCACTTCCTCTCCCCAGTGGTAACACACTAGTTTGTTCTCTATATCTGTGAGTCTGCCTCTTTTTTGTTACGTTCACTAGTTTTTCGTAGTTTTTAGATTCCACAGATAAGTGATATCATACAGTATTTGTCTTTCTCTGTCTGACTTGTTTCACTTAGCATAATGGCCTCCAAGTCCATGCATGTTGCTGCAAATGGCAAAATTTCATTCTTTTTTATGGCTGAGTAGTATTCCATTGTGTGTGTGTGTGTGTGTGTGTGTGTGTGTGTATATACCACATCTTTATCCATTTATCTGTTGATGGACACTTAGGTTGCTTCTTGGCTATTGTAAAAACACTGCTGTGAACATAGGGGTACATGTATCCTTTCAAATTAGTGTTTTTGGTTTTTTCTTGGATATAGACCCAGGAGTGGAATTAATGTCATTTATTTTTGATCACCTTTATCCAACTTAGTTTTGTGATATCATTGACCCTGTTTCACATTTCTTCCACGTGGCCAATCCCATGTGAAACACTGAGGTTGCAAAGGGAAGGAAAACACGTCTTGACTTCAAAAGGTAGACAACCTAGTGAGGAATATAGACACTTCAATGCTCTCACAGCAAACTGTGATAAATGAACTAATAGAATGATTTACAAGATTTAGAAATAGGAAAAAAAAGGTGCAAGAAGTGATGAATCCATGGGGATAGTCAGGAGAAGCTTCCCAGAGGTGAAAACTAGGCACGTATGAAGAAGGAAGAGAAATGTGCCCTACAGAGGGGAAGGCTAGGAGTTATTTTACAAAGGAAAGCATGGTTCTCAGAAGTACGCACCACCTTTGATGGTTCGGGAACCAAACGTTCTTTGTTATCACAGGAATATCCTGGCAAGGAGGCTGAGGGATCATCTGTCACCAGTGGAGATGGCCTCACAGCCAAGGCCAAGCCGAGAGCTTGGGCGTGGTCTTGTGAGCTTCAGGTGGAGGACAGGTGGCCTCCAAGTGGCTGTTGCAGTTTGGACAACGGCAATGAGGAGGAGAGAGGCTGAGAGCAGGAATCAAGGTCGTGGCAGTCGGGCCTGAATGGGAGACAGTGATTTCAGAGATGTTTCAGAGTTAAATTGGGGGGTGGCGGGGGCCTTGATGACCGGTGTATGGTACAGAGGTTGTCAGTGACTCCAAATACACTGTTAATGGAAAGCCGGTTATCTCTGCCTCAGAACACAGCGGGCACTGAACAGAGGAAGCCTTTCAAACTCCCAGGGAACGTGTGTTTTAGAGCAGATCTATTATTTCAGCATTTCAGGAGGTGTGGGGTGGGAGGTGGCTGGCAGAGCTGGAGTCTCTGTTAGTTCTTTGTGTCAGCACAAGAGAAGCTGCCTTTTCTTTTGCGAATCCTCTGCGGATCAGGGAAGAACTGATAATACTGTGGAAGTCGAAACAGTCAGACATGTACAGATGAGTTTATTAATTAAATAAGGATTTATGAAATCCCAAAACATCAGATAGACCCTACCTATTTAAATAAAATTACAGAAATGCCCATCTTCAGAAGAGAAGGGTGGAAAAAAGATGTGAAGTCCTGTCATACTGGAATGGTTGATGATAAACAACTGACTGTTTACATTTATCTCATTTTTCTTGAGCGTATTAGTTTCCTAGTGCCGCTGTAACAAAGTACCACAAACTGGGTGGCTCGCAACACAGAAATTCATTCTCTCACACACCTGGAGCCTGGGAGTCTGAAATCCAGGTGTGGGCCAGACCATGCTCTCTCTGAAGGCTCTAGGTGAGGATCCTTCCCTGCCTCTTCCTAGCTTCTGGTGGTTGCCAGCCATCCTCGGCATTCCTTGACATCATTCCAATCTCCGCCTCCATCTTCACATGACCTTCTCTGCATCTCTGCGCCTTAACTTAACCATTATATCTGCAAAGACCCTATTTTGAAATAAGGTCACATTCTGAGGTTCTGGGTAGACATGAACTTTGGGGAACCCTATTCAACCTACCACATTGAGTTAACACATTATAAGAGCTGGGGAAGAGATTGGCCAATGCACACCTATTTAGTGCCTTTTAATTTCTGCCAGTAAACTAAGAATAGAGATAGTGCAGTGAACAAGACAGACATAAGTTCCGTCCTCGGGAATTATGCACAAGTTAGTAGAAGGTGACAGATCAGGAACATTGGAGACTTCACTGTTCTTTCTGTTTTACTTCGGCACTTTTTCGTTAGGTTTAATTTTTAAATGTAGTTCCCTAAGACAGCGTCATCTGTTCTCATTGCATCTGGAACAGGAATCAAATATCAATTACGTATTCACTGCATATGAAGTTAGGAAAGTGGAGAGAAAGATTAATGACTGAAGTGTGGCCCATCTTTCCATTATGTAACTTTCCCCAGAAGATCTTCTCTGGCCTTAGATTGACTGGGATGCCTTTAATGTGTGCTGCATTCAGCATGATCCCAGAAATCATTGAAGATCATACGTCCAAACCAATATTGAAGTAACTAAGGGGGTGAGAATCAAGCTACTTTATAGAGAACACTCTCATATATTAGAAAATATAAGGCAAAGAATAGATTTTTCTGTTTGGTCCGATCAGTTTTATTTTGTAGACAGAATTTCCCAATTTAAGCCTTAGAATTGTTCTTAGCAACATTGAAAATGAATTGCTCTTATTCTGGATACATTTTTATTTGTATATTCTGCAGATTTGGCCGCTTTTATAGTCACACGCTGGTCATAACTGACTGCTAAGAATAAGTTCAAATCCCTAATGCTGGGAGACGCAAGAGGGAAGAGATATGGGAACATATGCATATGTATAACTGATTCACTTTGTTATAAAGCAGAAACTAACACACCATTGTAAAGCAATTATACTCCAATAAAGATGTAAAAAAAAAAAAGAACACTGAAAAAAAAAATCCCTAATGCTGTGTGTGAGTACCAAATATTAGCAGAGGTTTCTTGCTTGAGTTGACATCCTTACTTCCACTTAAGGGAACTTCGGGACTTGGTTACTTGGGCTGTTGAATTAACATTAGAAAGACTTTTCCTCTCAGCCTTTCTTGACATCATCACCAGGATGACTGCCCCTGAAGAGAATACTGAGTAGCCTTCTAGGGGAATCAGCTCTAAAATTATCTCAGAGAAAACGGTTTAACCAACTTTCCATCCACTAAGCATGACTTTTCATGGTCTGAAGAATGAACTTCTGGAAAAGAAAGGCTTTCAGGCTGTATCCTCATCTAAGACTCACTGTTTCTGACTCAAATTTTTTAACTCTAATTAAAGCCTGAAAAATAAAGAGCTTTCTAAATCCATACTCACCTGCCATCTTTAATTTGACTTTATTCAAGATGGCTGCAAACTCGGCAGTTTGGGTAAGTCTTTTTCAAATGAAAAAGCTGTCTTGGACTTTTCTCTTTAAGTAAAAAGTAAGTCTGTTTATCTTACTTACTAGGAATTTTCACTACGTTTTATTTCAGAACTCAGAGCAGATGGTGCATTCAGAGGAGATGTAAAATTGTGTTTGTTTAAAATCCTGCATCCTTTCTTCAAAAATTGAGGTATTATTCTCAGTAATCTCTACCAGCTTGACCAAATCCCCATCAGAGGGACTTTCTTTCTCTTTGTTCTCAGTTCATGGGAGGTAGTTTCAGTTTCAGTCCTCATTCTTAACTTGTCTTGCTGTTTTCTGCCATTGCTACGGGAAAGATGTCTATTGCCACTCCAGGGTGAACTTAGCATATTACAGGGATAATCAGAAGTTTTTATGTGCATACGTAATAGTCATACATAACTTACACCTCCTATGAATTGTTTTCATTTTACCCTTTAGTTAAAATGAGCAGTGCAGTGCCTTTGGGACTTCTCTTTTGTTACACATTTCAACAAAATCTCTGTCCCAGAGCAGTGAGATACTGGCCTTTACTTCTTAGAAAGAGTCGAGGACCTTGAGAAAACTTGACAGCATTTTCTTAACGTTTTACTGAATTGACTAGTTATTTATCTGTACTCCTGGAGCTAACCACATACATTTCTCATGGAGGGGGGGAGGGTGTGTGTGTGTGTGTGTTTTAATTTGGTTTCTCGGTTTTTGTTTGTGTTTGTTTTTCCGCAGTCAGTTATAAACTTAAATTGTCATTGAAGTTGTCAGTGGGACTCCCTTGTAGAGCTGTCTTGATTCAGTAGAAAAAACTATAGCTTAAGAACCTAACCTGGGTAATCAAGTTCTTTCCACGGGAGCCAACAGCGTCCTTCTCAGCAGCCTGAGAGCAGCGAGAGGTTTCCTGGTCAGGCCGGGACCCAGGGAATCTGAGCGCCAGTTGCCACTTCAGTTCCCCAGCATCTGGCACCGCACCACCTGCTCACTGAAGGAGGGGGTGGAATGCATTTCCTAGTCCCCCTCCCTGGCCTTAATGAAAAAGTAAAGGCTAAATAAAACACTTGTTTACAACTGGGCCAGAGCAGATGGCGGGCCCAGTGCATCAGCACGACTCTGCTGTTGTTCACTCCCTGGTGTGACGTTAATGTGAGTGCTGCAGGTGTCCTCAGCTGGGAAAAACATCAAGAACACCAGGACGTCCTCAGCCAGTTTGCAATCAACATATAACAAACTGGAGCCTCCCAGCAATGATCTGGATTCTGGAACCCTCTTTTTCTTTGCTTGCCCTCCTAGGCAACTGTTTTATTTAATGAGTTTTAGCTTTTTTGTTGGTTGAATATTCTCTAAAGAGAACACACAGAAGGGGAGTTCCCTGGCGGTCCAGTGGTTAGGGCTCCTCGTTTCCACTGCAGGGGGCACGGGTTAGGGAACTAAGATCTTGCATGCTGTGTGGTGCAGCAAAAAAAAACAAACACGTAAATCTACTGAGCTTCATCCTTTCTCTCGTCCTCCTCATTCATGCCTACTTTTCTACTAAAAGATTATATATTCAGGAAAGCGTGATAATTCTAAAAGACAAGAGGACCCTTTAGTGCTGAGCAAGCATAAATAAATATGAGTATAAAGGGAGAAGGTTTCCTTTTCAAAGATGGAAGTCAGGCATATGCTGAACGCCCTTGGCTTTGCTTTGGAGAGTAGATAAGCTGCTGTTCACGCGGTCATATGTCCTCACCCAAGTCTACTAAGAAAGGATGGCATAAAATCAAAACTATTGATACAACGAGATACCGCCTCACACCCGTCAGAAAGGCCATCATTAAAACGTCTACAAATAACAAATGCTGGAGGAGGTGTGGAGAAAAGGGAACCCTCCTACACTATTGGTGGGAATGTAAGTTGATGCAGCCACTATGGAAAACAGTATGAGGTTTCTGTTGCCATATGATCCTGCAATCCCACTCCTGGGTATATATTCAGACAAAACTTTTGTTCAAAAAGATACATGCACCCCTATGTTCATAGCAGCACTATTCACAATAGTCAAGATGTGGAAACAATCTACATGTCCATCAACAGATGAATAGATAAAGAAGATGTGGTATATGCATACAATGGAATATTACTCAGCCATAAAAAAGAATGAAGTAATGCCATTTTCAGCAACATGGATGGACCTAGAGATTATCCTACTAAGTGAAGTAAGTTAGAGAAAGACAAATACCATATGATATCACTTATATGTATAATCTAAAATACAACACAAACAAACTTATCTACGAGACAGAAACACACTCACAGACATAAAGAACAGACTTGTGTTGGAGGGGGAGGGATGGAGTGGGATTTGGGGGTTAGCAGATGCAAACTATCATATAGACAATGGATAAACAGCAAGGTCCTCCTGTAGAGCACAGGGAACTCTATTCAATATCCTGTGATACACCATAATGGAAAAGAAGATGAAAAAGAACGTATGTGTGTAACTGAAGAAACTAGCACAACATTGTAAACCAAATATACTTCAATTTAAAAAAAAAGGATGGCATCAACTGCACAGCTTTTAAGAAATTTAGAGCACTGACTTTTTAGAGCAAAAATGGTTTATGCCTTCTTCCCTTAAAGCACAAAAGAAAGAAAATATTTAGTAGAGAACATTTGGCGTTTCCCACTAGTTACTATGGAGGAAAGGAGTGTTTCCTCATATAACCAAAGCAGCCCTAAAACAGTTCATTTTTAAATGAATGAACAAACCAGCATTAAAGAATCTGGCTCCTTCTGGATGATTTCGTAGGCAAAGTAGAAAGACCTGGGATGAGGGAAATAAGGAAAGACATACGCCCTGGTGATGACGCACGGCAGAGATGTCCCCTCCCGGAGATCTCAGTCCTTGGAGCCTTGCTGCACTTTAGAAACCAAAGTCAGTTTCAGGTCCAGATTTTTCCTGGTCTGGTGGGAACAGTGATTCTGTGTGTCATCACTAAGGGGTATGAACAGAAAGAGGGCAAATGGGCGTCAGACTGCTGTGATGGTTTTCAAGGGCACAGGCAAAGACTGCCTTCCAGACAGAAGGCCAGTGTACTCAGGCCCTCTAGGAAGGCACTGCTTGGAACATTGTTTTCAAGGTAGCAGCTTCTCAACAAATGCCTTGACTTGTATTTCTGTAATCCAGCCCTGCTCAGGAAGGCAGCTGGTGCACTAAATACTAGCTGTCCTCCCAGTTGCTGCTGTTGTTGAATTTGGGCTACAATATTAGGAGGTATCTATCATTTGCACTTAAAATTAGCAGATTTACGGCCGGGAGAACACTAAGCAAATGCCCTTTGTTGTTTTGTAAAATTGTATTGAAAGCAGACCCTTCCAAATTTTCTGTTTTTGCAGGAATACCCTGGTTGAGGACCATTGTTGCTACCCTGGGAAGATTAGGCATTACCATGGCCTTTGAAATTGTTTATTTGGTAAATTCAGAATTGTACCCAACAACATTACGGTAATTCCAACATCCGTATCGTGGTTTCTCCTAAGTAAATCTGCAGCCGCATGTTTGAAGTTGACTTAAAAACTATGAAATAGTTTTCTTAGCTTGGCGACCTATTACCCTGGGCTGGATTCAGCCCGTGGAAAAGCTAAGTTTTGATTTGTAGCTTCTTTTTGCATTATTATCATCAATATCTTCATACACAGTTGGGGGTTTGTGGAAAGGCACTAGACCTGAAATCAGAAAATCTGGGTAGCGTGCTTGCGTCATGGGTTACATCTTCCTTCATCAGCAGGGCTCTGTGTAAAGGCTACAGCCTCTGTTCTGACCACACTCCACAGCGGATTATTGAAGGACAAGATGAAACAATGTGCATAGCTAGGGCAGGTTGGCCTCCTTCCTTGGGGGAATATTCCTGAGCACACCTTACCGCCAATCTGGGGTGCCAAGGAGACACATAAGCGCCACAGAGCAGGCTGGGTAGTGAGCCGCTGATGGAAGATTGATTTCCACCAATACTGTAGACCCGCCCCCGCCCCCAACTAGCCTCACTGTGACTCAGCTTTTACCCAGATGTGAACTGGTGCAGGTTGGAAATGATGCGCTTAGGGTATGAGAGAGGAGAAATTTTCAAAGTTAAAAGCTAGAGAAGTGGGAAATATTGTTACAATTTCTCTGTTACTTAGATATCTGAAAATGTTATGTATCTTGAATTTATTTAAATACTTTTTGTTTAAAACAATTTTTTTGTTCTGCAGAAACTTTGGAGTTTCACTCTGTTCAGGTTTATGTGATTTTGGGGGGATCATAGCCCCATTTCTGCTCTTCCGCTTAGCGGCCGTTTGGCTAGAACTACCTCTTATCATCTTTGGTAAGTTCTCACTTTATATCCTATTCTTAAATGCTCTCATCCACATTTTCACATTAATAGAACCTAAAATGATCATCAGGCTGGATATCAATTTTAACCATTTGCTCTTTTTATAACAGCTGTTTCCATTTTGAGGAACCACAATGAAATGTGGACCCTAAACCATTTAAATTTACTTTACATTAAGGGTTGCTATAAAAAAGTGTTCAGTTTAGCTTTCTTTGTTGAGGTTCTGAGTTAAAATCAAATATTATGAAACTTTTTTATAATATTGTGGAACATAACCAATAATTTTCCAAATAGGACCAAATAATAGGACCTTCAGTATGTTTAAAAACAAGCCTAAAAACAAATTGTATTGTTAAGTGCTCCATGTCTCTCAATATTGTATCTGCATGTGCTTTGATGCTAAGCACGCCATGCCTAAAGATCAGAGGACGCAGAAGCCCTTGTAGACACGTACCATAACCTCTTTGATGCCCCTCAAGTTCATACCCTCCTTCCGACCTTCAGTCTTCATGAAACTCATGAAGGGATAGAACCATAGCGTAGGGAGGGCCCTTAGGGTAATTCAGGCCAGTGCATCTCCAGTGCTGTTTCTGCCCAGATCTCATACCCTCCTCAGCAAGAGAGGATGCCGGCTGGCCCCTTGCTCACCTACCTTTCCTCCACCTCCACTTCCTTACTCCCGGTAGAGGTTTTTCACCCATTGCTCCGCAGTTTAAGTTCCAATGAAAACATTGCATCCGTGAGGGCATACATCCGGAGGAATGCAGGAGTCCTTCAGCTGTGCTGGGGACCATAAAGTCGGCTTCTAATCACTGACACCAGTGATTCCATAAAAGATCATTTCAAACTCTTTCACGGGATCTGATAAACAAGCTCAGCATTGATTCTGGGCCAGCGTGAAAAAGCAAAGAGAGGCCACTGTGCAACCAAAACAGAGCTGCCTGACAGCCCAGGCCGTCGAGGTTCGGGGCTTGCCTGTGAGCCCGGCTGGCGGAGCTGGGCGCTGGTGCTGCAGGGCAGGCCCTTGCTTCGCAGAGTCTGGCTGGGGAGGGAGTCGCCTTTCCAAACAGTCACAAGGGAATGTGATAAACAAGGGCGCCATGAGAGCACATCGCAGGGAGCACCAGACCCGTGGAGTCAGGGAGCAAGGGGGCCACGTGGAGGTTGAATAGGAATTATGCACGTGAGAGGTGTGGGCTGGTGCTCTAGGCAGCGGGAAGGCCTAGAGTAAGAGGAAGTTAAAGGACAGAGTGCAGTGTGTAAGTTGGGGCCTGAAGAGAGATGAAGCTGGGGAGGTGAGCTGGGGCCGGACCATGGAGGGTCTTCTCCGATGTGCAAAGGGTCTGCTCTTTATCCGAAGAGCAGAGTTTCAAGCCGGGGTTAACAGTGTCAGGTTTGCATTTTAGAGACATGACTCTGATGGCAGGTATGCCTATGAGTTAGAGGGGGACAGTGCTACTGGTGAGATGATTCAAAGAATGTTGGTGTGATCAGGTAAGAGATTTCATAAGGACTGGGTCTAGGGTGATGGCACTGAGAATGCTGAGGAGTGGAAGGATCCACAAAAATATATTGGAGGTTGAATTGGCAAAAGGGGGTGATTGACGGGACGAGGGCCAGAGGGACCAGGGAGCTGGCAGCCGGCCTCCGGCCTGGCAGCACCATAGGTGGCGGGGCCAGCCCTAGTTTAGTGAATGTCAGAGGTGCCCGTCTGCAGGAGGACGCGGAGGGATACTGTTTGGGCTGTTTGCAGCATGAGGTGCCTCTAAGAAATCCAAGTTGAAATGGTGAGAGGCCAGTAGGTTTGATGGGCTGAGTCGGGAGCAAAGTGTGGCCTTGTGATGAAGGTTTGGAAGCCATCTGGATGCAGATAACCACTGAAACCATGGGAGTGACCGAAACCCCGTCTACAGGGAACAGGACAGAGTGAGAGGAAAGAAGGGGGCCCAGGACGGGGCCCTGAGGAACGACAGAGCATCCAGCATAAGCAGAGGGAGAGGAACCAGCCAGGGGATGAGAAGGGATGCAAGAGGGGCAGGAGGGAAACCGGGAGCGCGTGGGGCAGGGAAGCCCGGGGACGGCGGGTGAGGTCACCAGCCGCCTGAGCTGCCACGAGGCCAGGCAGCAGAGACGAGAAGCGGGGCCACTGCACCTGGTGGTGGCAGCAACTGGCGACCTGGCTGGAGCAAGGCCAGAGGGGACACGGAGCAGAGCCGGATTAGGGCAGGTGGAGCTGCGAGGTGACTCTGGCCCGCCAAGGTCAACTGTCAAGTTTTCAAGAATTTTTGAGCCAGTTTAAACACATCCATCATTAAAAATGGAATATATAAAATAGATTAAAAACAGAGGTAATAAATACGCACACCTCATCAGTTCCTGATTCATTGAGTTCTACTGCATCTGTCCCCGAGGCTGGTGCGTCCACCGTAGTCCATGGTGGAGATGCTGCCGCCCATCTCCCCAGAGCCTCACTCGCGACGTCACACTGCTGGTTTGAATCGCTCGCATCCACGCTGGGTGTATTTACACCACAGAAACAGGGAAATGCTGCTGCACATCAGGACTTTATTTTCTGGAGAGCTGGTTGTTAGACATTTACCAGCACAGCGCTGGGATATGAAGATGTGTAGAAAATAGGAGAGGATGGTGTTTCAAGAATTGCGGTTCTAAAGAACGGAAGAAGGGAGGATGGTGAGGTTGATAGAAGGCTCTTTAAAGAGGAGAGATTTGAATATGTTTCAAGGCGTCCACTGACGGGTTAAAGGTGCTGGAGGGAGAAGATGAATCACTACAGCGCGGAGCCCACAAAGACGCCAGGAGATGCTCTCGGGCAGATGTGGGCACAAGTCTTGGGTGTCACATGATGGAAGCAGGAAGGGGAGGGGCAGGGTGCCGTGAAAGGAGGCTGAGGGACTCCTCACTGGTGGCTTCTATGTTCCCTGTGAAGTAGGAGGTGAGGGCTTCTCGGAGTGTTTGGCACTTGGTAGGTCCTCAGTAAATTGTGAAACGAGTGAATGAATGGATGGATGCCAAGAACACAGGAGCGATGGAACTGTCTAGAGTTTGAGGAAGGCTGAGAACCTGTGAAATCATGACAGAGGAATGCTGGGCAGGGTGACCAGAGGGCCGCTGCGGGGCAGGATGAGTCCAGGTAGTGAGCACAGCGGCTTCCAGACTGAGCAGGGGGCCATGAGGGGGCGCTGTGCGCTCCCGGTACCGTAACGCCTTTCTCCTGTGCCACAGGTATCCTGGCATCTGTCTGTGGTGCTCTTGTGATGCTTTTGCCTGAAACCAAGGGCATTGCCCTGCCAGAAACAGTGGATGATGTAGAAAAACTTGGCAGGTACGGTACAAAATTCAGCACATCCAAATTAAAAGCAGCATTTCAAACCCACTGGGAAAGGACGGTGCTAAGAAAATTGAATATCCAGGGGGGAAAATATAATATTAAATCCCTATCTTACATCTTAAGCAAAAAGTTCAAAGTAGATTCAAAAGGTTAGTGTAAAGCAAATCTGTAAAAGAATATGTTTTATTTTTTAAATGTGGTTATGAAGAGGGAAACGTTTCCAAATAAGGTGTTAAAACTCAGAAGGAATCTAAAGGAAAGAGACTGATGACTGGACAAAGTAGAAATAATTTAAGTGTGCATCGATAGGCAACCGATGGTGAAAATGATAATATATCTATAAAATAATTGAGATATATCTATATGGAAAGACATGGAGAGATTTTCAAGATGGATTACAAAGTGAAAAGTCACAGAACAATGTGTTATAGTATTTATTAAAAAATAAAACCAAGAGTAATCCCTCTCTACAGCTAGATGGGAAAATAAATGCTAGCCAGATAATGATAGAAGAATGATAGCTCAATCGATAGATAGATAGATGAATGATAAGTGATACATAGACAGATAGAAAGAAGATAGGAGAAGGACAGTGAGAAAGAGACTGAATTTGGCAAAAGGGTGTCTAAGTGGTGTACAGGGAAAGTTAATATCCAACCAACACATGAATATGAAATACGTTTTTGTTATATCAAGAAAAATCCACAGTACACATATTCTAATCTCCTCTGAAATCTTCCATAATAAAAAGATAGGAAGAGAGAATATGAATATGAGAATGCATAGGAAAAGATCTAAAATGATAAAATATACCCTCTGGGGATAGAAATCGTTCGGGAAGTGGGGTGTGGAAGGGAGGACATTACTTTTATACCCCATAGACTTCTGAATTGTTCGATTTTTTATTTTTTTAATTACAACTCATGGTCTTGTATCATTTGTGAATTTTATTTTTTTTAATTTTTTAAATTTTCTGGCTGCGCCGTGTGGCATGTGGGGTCTTAGTTCCCTGACCAGGGATCGAACCTGTGTCCCCTGCATTGGAAGTGTGGAGTCTTAACCACTGAACTGCCAGGGAAGTCCTCATTTGTGAATTAAAAAAAAATAATTTAACAGCTAATTTTATTTATTTATTTTAAATTTATTTTTGGTTGCATTGGGTCTTCATTGCTGGGCACGGGCTTTCTCTAGTTGTAGTGAGCGGGGCTGCTCTTCGTTGTGGTGCGCGGGGTTCTCATTGTGGTGGCTTCTCTTTTTGTGGAGCACAGGCTGTAGGCACGCAGGCTCAGTAGTTGTGGCTCGCGGGCTCTAGAGCGCAGGCTCGGTAGTTGTGGTGCACAGGTTTAGTTGCTCCACGGCATGTGGGATCTTAGTTCCTGGACCAGGGATCGAACCTGTGTCCCCTGCATTGGCAGGCGAATTCTTAACCACTGCACCACCAGAGAAGCTCCTAACAGCTAATTTTAAAAATAAAAATCAATCTTCTAAACAGTGACCTAGAAGTTAAGAGTATGGTTCTCTAAATATTTAAAAAGTGTATCAAAAGTATTTATGACAAGACTGAAATGTTAGTAACCTCATGGCAATTTTATTCTTCACTTGAAAGACTGGGAAGAGAATAGAAACCGACATTTTTTAGGTCCTTATATACGTGATCAATGGTTTCATATATGTCATTTCATTTAATACTCAAAGTGATTGTGTGCAATACAAGTTCTTATCGTTACTTTTTTATATACTAGGAAATCTATGCTCAGAAAGACTTCACAGCTTCTACATGCTAGTACTGGGATTGATATTGTCCAGTGTACAGGTGTGACTGTTGTTTTGGGTAGTTTTATTATCTTATGCTGTATCCTACTTGATTATGAGTATTTTAGTAGCAAGAATCCCCTGGTAGTATTGGAAATTTCTCTCTTCATATCCTCTTTTAATGAGGTCCCATCCCCCTCCCCAGAGATAGGCAACCATCGCTCAGAAGTATTTCAACCAGACCTTTAAAACCTATACAGTGATTTCATAGTCCTATTTCTTGATTCTATTTTGAAAAATAAGATCGGCGAATCATCTCAGAACTTTCCTAAGAAAGGCTTATCAGTGTACTCAAAACCAAACCACCAGCTGACTTCTAACAGGACTGACCAATCAGAGCACAGGTGGACCTTCGTCCCATGAAGTAACCCAATCAGATTCTTGTGCTTGTTTGTAAGTAAACTGATAGGTAATGGCTTATTCCTCAACCAAAGCTCTACCTATGTTTTACCGTAAAACAATGCTATGTGAAGTCTGAGGTGTGGTTGGAGATTCTCTTTAAGACATTGCCATTTTATAAACCAAAATTAAGTTAAGAAATTTATAAAAGGGGGGACTTCCCTGGTGGTCCAGTAGTTATGAATCTGCCTTCCAATGCAGGGGACTCGTGCTCGATCCCTGGTTGGGGAACTAAGATCTCACATGCCGTGAGGAAACTAAGCCCACACGCCACAACTACTGAGCCCCCGTGCCACAACTAGAGAGAAGCCCGTGTGCCACAATGAAAGATCCCGAGTGCTGCAACTAAGACCCGACGCAGCCATAAATAAATAAACAAATATTTTTTTAAAAAAGAAATTTATAAAAGGTATCAAAACTGTCCTCTTGAGTGTTACATCATGGAAAGACTTGCATCATCCAGAAAGGATAAACATGCTGCTAGCTGTGTCATCACAGACAATTATTTGGTTTGTATGAGCGTATGAGGGCCAGATCAGGGTGGGCGGTGTCCAACCCTGTCACCCCAATTGCAGCCATGCTAACAGACCAAAGGAAAGAAGACTATTTAAGGTTAGATAAAGCAGGGGAAATGGTGAGAAAGGAAATAGGATTATCTTCAAATAAGATATCCAAACTTTAAGGGCAACTTCTCATGGGCTGATGTGCCCTGCAGGATCTGTTCAGGGCTGGGGTACGCAGGAGAGCATCCCGGCCGGGATTATAGGGTCAAAAGTAAGAAGTTCAGTGCTGACTGTTGGTGGCACAAGCCTGGGAATGTGTCATTGGAGTTTTAAGACGTCTAACTCAGTGGTGCAGAGTTCTTTTCCTGCACATCTGCTGCCCTCTCTTGTGAATGCCCTCTGTGCCAACCCTCCAGCGACAGGGACTGCATTCTTCTGTTTGACTCGACTCCATTTGCTGCTGCTCATTTATAGGGAGCGTGATAGACTCATTCTTGATCCCCAAACCAGTCAGAGGTCAGATTTTCAAACTCATCAGGAAAAAGTGGAGGAAGAGGGAGTGATTTGAGATCAAGACTCTTTTGCCAATTCAATCATATTAAAAATAGAATTAAACAATTGGAAGAGATGGAGTTTTGGAGGTGAGAAGGCCATCTCAATGGTGTGCAGGGAAAATTAATATCCAAGCAGTACATACACAGGAAGAATTCATCCAACAAAAATTCAACTTACATGAATTTTTTTCTGTTTGTAAATTTTCATAATTAAAAAATTGGGTAAATTAATTAACGATGCCTGGTCCCTACCCTTGAAAAAACGTCTAATAAAAGTCTGATCTATGGTTTTACAAGTTAAGCACATTGATTGCATTCTATAATCACTTACTCAGGAACAAAAACTACTTAGCCCCAAGTTATGGAAACCTGTTAGCATTTTCCCTTCTACAACAGCACTTAGTCATTTTCTCATTTCTGCTTTCTTTTGTTCACATCAGCAGCTCATTTCCAAACCATCTGTTACGGAGTAGAAATTCATAAAGAATTTATATGTGCTATAATGCTAATTAACCCCTGCCTAGGGATTGAGGGCAGGCAAAAAATGACTTGGAGACAGTTAATTTTGTTGCCTTTGAGTTGGGTTTTTATGAGTAGTTATGCATGAGCGTATTCGATCAAAACCAACTATGAAATTGAGTAGTAACAAAAAGACTTCCTTCTCACTAGTTGTGTAATCTTTTATAAGGACTTTCTCTTTTCTCCTTTGTTTTGTTAGTCCACATTCCTATAAATGTGGCAGAAAAAAGAAAACTCAAGTTTTGAGCTCTCACCTTTGAGCCCCCTGCCAAAGATGCAAGGAAAGAGCTATTCAGGCTGGTCCCCCCAAGGAACCGACGTGCCTTGCAGAGACGTGTGTGTTGTCCACTTCAGCTGTGCAGCTCCAAGTGTTTTTAATACTTTACAAAGACATTCAGACCATCCAGAGTATTTCTATACGTGTTGGATGAATCAAGACTCATCGTGCTGTCAAAGTTTCTGGGAACATGTAATATGTGACCGGTTTAGCCAAGAGCCCGTTGTGTGCACAGCTCCTCCTGAGGTTTTTTCTCACGCTGGGGCAGTGTCTCTGACCCACTGGGTTACAGAGAGACAAGAGAAGCCCCGCCCAGTTCTCAATGACGGTTCTGTCAAGAATGCAAGGTGTGCAAACCAAGGCTCTGGGGCAAGTGTACAGAAATGGGTTCATCAAATCTGATCAGGACGCGGAGGCTCTGAACTGAGGGTTCTGATGATTGCAGGGAAGATGAAGATTTGGGGATCTTGTTAATGCAGAGACTGAACCTAAGGACCTCGGGCCACCTGGCTCTGAGCCTTTGCTTGCTCTTCTCACCTTGAGCCCCTTAAGCTCCTGGAGCATCTAGGGTTGCAGGCACTTTTAGGCCTTGTTCCAGAAATAAGAACAAATCTGCTGGACAATTCAAGGATTTGGCTCTATTGTTTATAAAATCAGATTGGTCCTGAGATGATTCGGGATAACTGCGGTCCTCCTTTAGTGGACACCTAGAGCCACATATTCAGTGTTTTACTGATGAAACCCATGGACTATGAATTCATGGGTCTTCAGATTTTAATCATACAGGGATATTTATCTTATATGTGTGAATTCAGCTCTATCATGATGCCCATGGTCAAGAGTGAAAACTATGGACAAATCTCATTCAATCTTGACACTTTTGACTTGTCTTGGGAAGAAGCTTACATTTTAGTTTGAAAGAAAGGTCAGTTATATCCATGCTTAAAAGAACTAGCAGAAGTTTATATTGTACATGACTTTACAGGTACTAATAAGGGATTTGATCTTTCTTTTTGTTTCTGAGACTTTTTGAAATGTGGAGTTTAAATACAAATATGCCGTCTTTATGATGTCCTGCTTTCTATGTCACATTTGTTATATTTTCAGGTTCAGTATGTATCTTATGCAGAATTGTTTAATGAATTATTTTGGGTGGACAGGTAAAATGTGAGCCAAAGGGAAACCTTGCCAGTGAGGAAGAAAGTTTCTATGTGAACGTGTGACGATATGTACGGTGTACGTGCTAATTGTAAAATAAGTTTTTAATCCTTAAAGCACATCAGAATTGAATATGAATACTTTATTTTTCAATGAAATAAACACAGTTCTTTAAGGGTGTAATGCTGCATTTACCCTTTATTCATACACCCTTGCATTTTTGTTTCTTTTGCATTTTTCTCTTTGCTGTGAGATGACTGTTGCTTCTTGATACTATCACCTTGGAATTGTATTTTGAGTTGACATTTGGGTTCTGATAACAATAAAAAAATGTAAATTGTCAAGAAAAATCAATTGGCATCCTTTCTCTTCTTTCTGAACGTGCGTCACTGTAAAACACTCTTCCCATGTGACAAAGTATACTACATATCCAGGCAGCCAATTACTGATGGAAATTAAATGGTCCACCTTCAATATATGTTCGTTGCTCCTTTCCAGGCTCTTGGCACCATTCCTAGACTCATATGTGACCCAGAATACCATTCAGACTCTTAGCTGGTCTTGTGTTATGACACTTCCATTGCCCGGTTTACTTCTCAGAATAGAGCTGTCTGCCCAGGGTCTCCTGTGCTGGGCTAGAGTCAAGTTGTCAGTAACAGATTTCATTCCCAAGAACAGGATTTGCTCTCATGATTCCCCATATATGCTGCAGCTTTGAAAACATTCATCCCAGTGCCAAAAATAAAGACATTAAAGATGTGTGACAAGGTAAATATATAGGTGACTTACTAGGGCTTCTCTATTCATCTTACAGGCTTCTCGTTCCTCTCTTCCTTATGAGAGAGAACAAAATCACTCAGGTCTGTAAGAGTTACACTATTTACAACTGGTAGGATGAACAAAGAGCATGAAAACAGTGAAAATCAAAAAATTAAGTCAAAGGAAGTACAGAGTTTATTTTCAGCAAATGTCATAGCTGTATTGCCTCATTATTACAGAATCCAGCAGTCCATGGACAGGAACAAGTTATCCACAGCAATACAAACAAATGTTGCGGTTGGCAGTAGCTGGTAGCTAAGTACAGTGTCAAACTTAGTTTGATTACTGTCAATTATTTTTGAGCACGCTGAATTCCCTACCCATGTTGCAGCTTCAGATCCATTGATGCTTCACTCTGTCTCCCATCTAATTAATTCTTTCTCATTATTTCTTCAATCCAAGTAACAAACTTTGAAACACGAACATACACACCAGGCTTATTGGGGCGTGCACAGCCAAGACCCCATGAAGTGACTCCTTGTAAAATGTATTTGTCCTTCTCAAAGCAAACCAGAGGCCCTCCACTGTCACCCTACACAGAGGAAGGGAAAAAACCATGAGAGGATTAAGCTTCCATCCTTTTAGTATGGGATGTCATCCTTCTATTACCCAAATGTAAGTTGTTCCCAGTATTTGAACATCCCTTTCCAACCAGAAAGGAACTTGGTAACATATTATTTGAACATCTGCTGTGCTTCAGTACTAGGCAATGTACGTTTAACGAAACCGTACCATTTAGTGTTTCCCGGGGGGGAAAGAAATCCCTTGTGAAAACTGTATTCATCCCTTCAAGCCTTGGGGTTTCTCTTAGGGAGGGTAACCCCAAGAACAATCTTAAAGAAGGTGTGGGAGGGTCTTTGTCTTATACCAACCTCCCTTTCCTACTAGAAAGGCCACGTCCTGAGTCCCACCCAAGATCCCCCTCCCAGAGGCATAGGGGCTGTTGCTGTGATGGTGCTTAACTATTCCCTTACAACCAGTGTGGAACTCAAGGCCGAAGAAATCACCCTAGATGACCTGAATCAGCCTTCAGAGACACGCTTAAAAGGTTTCCAGGCAACATTTAGACTGTGGCCTTCGATTGACAAATCCTTCTAGAATTTGCTGCTTTGGGGCTGAAATGTCTAAGGGGCCAAAACAGGCCAACACAAGATGAACTTTGATCTCTTTAGTCTTTTGTTACCTGGCAACTGTCAGCACCTCCAGCCAGATGCCCCGCACACAGCTCGGTGGGTTTGACTCTCCCATTCAGATACTCATAGCGATTGCACACCTTGTTTTCAATCACAGGCAGCCGGGCTTCCTTGAGCAAGCCAGCACCGTAAGTGCCTGTGTTTAAAAAGATGAAACACACGGTGACTGGATCGAAAACGTGTCCGCAAGGAAGCTTCCAGAACAACAGAGCAGCAATGATAGATCTCATGTTCATCGTGAGGTTGGATAAAACAAGAAGTCAGTTCCCGGTACTAGTAGATCTCTTTCTTTTTTCTTTTTGACCCTTGAAAGTATGAACATTATATAAGATTTCATGTTCCCAAGACCTAGACTTAATTAATCTGGGCTGCTTTATGGGATTTTTGAGGTTGGTTTGTGTTGTTATTTTTTGGTTTCTTTTTTTTTTTAAACTATAAAGAAATGTACTTTTAATGTATAAAGAGAGATTGAGAAATAGTAGTGCTACTATTTTCATATATGCCCTTCTAGGATTTTTATATGCTTCTTTTACTACTTAATATCGTATTGCACATTTTTCCACACACAGTTATATCATAAAGGCTTTCATAAACCTACAATCTGTATAATTAATATTTTAGTTGGGAGTGACTGATTAATGGGTTTGGGATTTCCTTTTGGGGTGAGGCAAGTGTTCTGTAAATAGTGGGGACGGTTGTACAACGTTGTGAAGGTGCTCAATGCCACAGAATTGTACTCTTCAAAACAGTTAAAAAAGTAAATTTGACGTTACATATATTTTACCACAATATTTAAAAAAAAGAACAACTGTCATTGACTGACAATTAACTTTTTCAGGCACAAGCTCATTATGTGGTGTAGCTCATCTAATCCTTAAAACAGTCCGATCACCTAGGCACTTTCGTCATTCCTATTGTACAGTTAAGGAAACTGAGGCTTAGGGAGGGTGTGTAGTTTGCCCAAGATCACCCAGCAAGTATGGTGGAGCTGGGATTTGAACTTGGGTCTGCAACATCATGGCCCAAATTCTTCACCACCACGTTCATTGGCTACAACAGCTGCTCTCAGCGTATCACTTCTTTGTTCCTACAGGTTATTCATATTCCTTAGTATTTTCTTAAGTCTAAGTTCTGAGGGATTATATAGACATATTTATGGTTCCCAATATCTTTGCCAAATATTTTCTAAACAGGTGTGACAGTGTAAAATGTCACTAGAAAAACAGTGCACAACAACCTTCTGAGTGTGTGGTGTCTAATAATTTTCAAATGTTTGCTAATGTGATGGGTGGACCTTGTCTTAATTTATTTCCTAATTTACATGTCTTTTCCGATTAGGGCCAGTAAAGATTCTTTGGTGTGCTTGTTTTCCTCACTGCACTTCTTTCTTTGTGAGAAAAACTGCTTTTTTCTTACTTTGGCAAATGGAAATAGAACCCGTGCACGATCACAGGAAGAGATGATGTTTTCCAGATGGACACACCCAGGTACGCCTCAGCATTTTCACAAATAATCCAGTTTTCCAATTTTGCAAGCCCAGCTTTCATGAGTTTTGCAAAATCTTTGCGTTGCCAGCGTGAAACAGCCAAGAAATAAGGTACTGCTTCTTCTCCAAAGACTTTTAATAAAATTGGAAAATTGTCTTGAGTTCAGAAAACTTACACTGGGGTTGACGGGAGCACCTAAGAGATCCACCATCTGGAAAGAAGAGGCGAGTCCCAGCCCTGGGCAGAGCCACCGAGGACGAAAGTCCTGACCACGGAAGCATTGGGTAGCGGATGCATTTTCTGAATTGGGTGGATATGCAGAGGGTGCGGCCTTCTCAAAAATTTTTGCTGAAAATTAATTTAACTGAGTGTCCTGCTCTTACATCTGCTTTCTGAGCAAGACAGGCATCCTGAGGCTAGGGACAAATCCACTGCTAGTTGACCAGACGCCTTCGTGGTCTGTGCAGAGGTGCTGCCATCGTGTGGCCACAGGAGAGATGGCGTTTCTGAGGGCCTGAGGCTGAGGGTGACCTAGGGACCTGATGGGGTGGTGGGGACGTCGAAGCAGGTCCCCGAAAACACCCAGCGATTGCTGATGAGGGGCTGACATGAATGACCCCCTCGACATCAACCCTTACCTTGCTTTGGAATACAGAAGTCAGGGAAAGTCTGGAGACTCAAGGGGAGAATTCTGACCTCACGCAGAGAGGCTGATTGATCTGATGTCATTACTGACATATAGAAAATTGGTAAACAGACCTGACTCATGTTTTGTGACTCCTGACCCAATGAATACATTGAGAATCATTTTCTCCAGTTAGACATTCAGACGAGGCCTGGAGAGACGGGAACCCAGTGCAGGGTGATAGTTAGAAAAGTGTGGGTGCTGGGTGAGACAGAAGAAACAGTGAATGGGCTTGCGGGGGTCTGGCAGGCCTGGGTTCCGTCAGGGCTCAGCTACACACAGGTTATGTGGTACTTATTGATGACAGTGACAGTGGTGATGACGGGGAGGGTTGGGGGCCGACCATGACGGCGATGGTGATGATCCTGAGATGGTGAGGGTGATGGTGAGGATGGTGGTGGTGATGACGGTGTCCATGGTGATGGCGGTGGTGATGGCGGTGGTGATGGCGGTGGTGGTCGTATAATAGGCACAGGAGCTGCTGAAATACCATCTCCAAAGCACTGAGCTCTTCATATGCACTGTCTCAGTCCTCACAGTGACCTCATAGGGTAGCACAGATGAGGAAACCAAGGCTAACATGTAGAACATAATTTGAAAACACGGATTTTATGGATGAGGGCTTAGATGCCAAATGGTACAAAGAGGTAAGGTGACTTGTCCCGTTCGCCCAGCTGGTGGCAGAACCAGAACTACTTTCCAGGGTTCCTGACTCCCACTCTGGTGCTCCGACCAATGCTTCTGAGAAAGTGAGGCAGAGATCTAGGACATTCTTATAATGTTCCTAGGCCCGAGTCTGAAGGATATAATAATAATTTTTATTATAATATAATGCAGGGCATACTGCAAAGAGAAGACGGGATTCCCAAAATATAGTACCAGCTGCTGAGCCAGGATCCTGCAGAAACGTTTCCTCTCTCATCCTCACCCCGTCAACCAATACCAAATACCATCCTAGAATTGGGACCTTTCTTTCTTTCCCCTGCTGTCAGTCTGCCCTACCCCCGACAACGTCTCCACACAGAGCCAGGCAAGTGGGTATTTGGGGAGACTAGTTTAACTATAATTTTTTTTGTTGATTTGCACCGTGTTTGGGAACTCTGTGCGCTTAATTCACATGAACGACAATCTAACACCCTTAATTTGTAGCTTGTGTCAAAACCCTACTTACCTGGGGACACAATATTAACCTTGGATTTTGGGGGGTCAGAGTCTCAAGGAAACACTACCCTTCCCCTCATCCATGTCCCTCGATGACTGATTATAGAGACGGAGGCAGATGTCCAGACAAAGTCAGGGAGGGAGTGGACCTCACTCACTGATAGAAATCAGTACACATGCTCATTTTCCCATGTAGGTTGCAGGTCAGAACCAGTTCATCATGTGAGTCACAGAATTTATCTTACCTTGGGTTTCTCCCCAGCCAGTGATGTAACATACTGTCCGGTCCGCGACCACGTAATTTGGGGATGGCAGACAAGCTGGGATTACCTTTTCGGTGATGATGGCAGGGCTGAAAGGAAAACATCAAAAGTTACATTTGACTGCCCTGCTGGGAGACTTCTGCCATTCATCTGTTGGTCACAAGATCCCACCTGCCCCAGAGCCCCAGAACGCTCTGAGCTGGTATTTCTTCCTTGCTTCACTGACACAGCGCAATGTAGAAAACAACTTTTCATCCTCACATTTGCCTGTAGTATCTTATGAGTCAAAAAAAAAAATAGAACAATTTGTTTTAAAGGCACCAGTTGTGGACAAGAAACTAGAGGTGGGAACAGAGATGACAATGACTTTTAATGTCTATTCTCGCACTATGGGAATTTTATACCAGGTGCACGCTTCCAGATGAAGTTAAGAGGGCTTCAGTCAGCAGATGGACCATTCGGCTGAAATACAATCACAGGGCTTTAATAATAACAAGTGCCTTGTGCCACTAGGAGCAAGCTGCTCCATCTTCGGGGTCCTCAGATTCCTCACCCATGAATGTTACAACACCATGGCTGGAAGGATCCAATATAATGCAAGATACCAAATCAAAGAGGATTAGAAGTAAGTACCTTGCCTAAGCAAAGTAGTATTGTTTTCCACAAACTTTCACGTTAGAGTTCCAGAGAATCAAATATTAGAACTTTGACTTTTAGACTTGATTCTATTTTAGTAAGTTCAGGAGGAAAACCCATTGAAGATGAGAAATGCCTGATTCTGATTAAGAACCATCATGGCCTTCAACTTTGAAGCAGACACACGCTGTCAGAGCTACCAGAATAGATTGGCGTCTCACATGGAGTGGGGGCCACAGTCATCACGGTACAGGTTCCCCTCGCGGAACGCCAATGCCTGAGACTCTTGGGGTTTGGGGGGCCTGGGGGTGGGTACCCGAAAGCTCAAGCGCATCAGTCTATCGGAGAACACATCCAGAACCCACGTTCACTAAATGACTTGCTCGAGGATCACAGCTTTCCTGATGGCCCCAGGGGACCATGGAGAAAAGCGAATCAGCTCCTTTTTTAGGCTAAGCCAAGAAGGCCCTTTCTTTCCTTTCCAGAGCGTCCAAATACCCCAGGGAGTCACTCAGTTTACTGACCCAGAAAACTTGTGAAGTGTTTTCTGTCCAGACCCAGCGAGCCCCACTCAGACTCTTGACCCCTGGGCTGGCCACATCCTCGTCACCGTCACCGTCGTCCCGCTGTCATCTGGAGCCCATTATGCATGGCCGATGGGCTCTGCATGCCTTGCTGACTGTCCCAAATGTGCCTATTCTCAAAATAGCAGTCTGTTTATTTAGCTGTCTCCCTTGTGACCTGTTTCCAAATACTGCTCACTTTAAATGACGTTAACAAATTTATCATTTTGTCAGACTTAATAAAAGACCATTTCAACAGGAAACATAAAAGCAGAGACAGGAAGAAGGAGAATTTGCACTTGTGAATTTTGAGTGTGTGTGTCTGTTTACATCGCCTTTTATAAAGTGCATCGAAATATACATAATCCCATTGGATTCCCCCAAATATATTATTACATTGAAAAGAGAGTGTCAACCTGGAATAATTGAATAATTCTCTGATTATGAATGTATATTAGCCGGCTGGGGAACATTAAGTGAGAGAGTTTGAGGGGTAACCTGTACCTCATGTTTCAACTCGCTCTTTTTCCGCAAGAGGAAACTGTGTCCTGGTGCCTTTGTCATGACCACGGCTAGTAAGAGGCAGGCGGGGCTGAGCCCAGGTTTTCTCACTTGAAGGTCAATGCCTGTCCCAATGCCCCGTGCCTTTGGGGTCCTAGACGGGGCTGCCCACACACAACTCTGTTACGGCTCATAAACCCAGCGATGAGCAAAGGTTCTCACTGCTCACAGGGTGAGAGTCACGGGCGAGCCAGTACCTGCTCAGCTTGAGCAAGGCGATGTCGGCCCGAGTGGGCTCCGGGAACAGCTTGGTCACTTGTATTTCCTGGACACTGTCTTCAACGGCGGTCTCTCGGTGTGCGCCCAGGATGACCTTGTATGATGCCGGCCCTGAGTAGCTAGAGAAGACAGCAACGTTAGGAACAAAATCTGGGCCAGCCCTTCATCGGGTGCCCTTCTAAGCCACAAACACTGCGTCTTCTCCCCACTGGGCTACCTACCATCAGAGACCTCCGAGTGGCAAGAAACAAGTTCACGGTTTACCTGAACCTGGCTGTTAAGGGATGTTCTCGGGGCTGCTTTTGGCCTGACCACAGAGGAAGAATGACACCAACACCGAAGTTGGCGCAGGACAGATAGGGGTCTGCCTTCTTCGTTCCTCTCTAGAAACACCTCCTCCTCTCTCGTCCAATGGCCCTGGCAATTCTGCCTCAGGCCCTTCTCATCCATTCCCTGGTCCCCAGTGTCACTGCCACGAAAGGAAGGAGGGAAGGAAGGGGAGGGAACAGGGAAGGGGAGAGGGGAGGAGAAAAGGTGAAGGAAAGGAGAGAGGGGGAGGCGGGAGTCTTTAAGACAAGTGAGTCTTTGTGGCAGGGGTCCCCTAAACATACCTGTCCAGGCAGTGGGCAGCAGTCAACACCCACTCTGGGGATATTAAAGTGCCTCCACAGAAGTGGCTTCTAGAAGGAAATCTAGAAGGAAAATGTGCCAGGATTTTAGTTCAAACCTGATGATTTATTCTACAGAAAGCCCGGAAGTAGTGCTCACTCTGTTGTGATATCGCTGACGTTCCCAAAGGACAAGGTGACCGGCCCGTCATCGGGATGGTGGGAGCTTTGAGCTGTGCTCCTGTGGTGGGTTCTCAGGAGGTCACTACACCACTCTGGAAGGTGGCTGGCGCACAGGCGAGGCCCAGCAAAGCCATGCGACTCCAACAGGGGGTCCACGCCCATGGCTTTGACCCTTTGGCCCTGGACTCCAGCTCCCTGTCACTTCTTTTTGACAAGATCTATGCAAGACCCGATGAGTCATTCTTCAGGGAACCAAATGGGATCCTGAGTAGCCGTGATTCACGGGCATCTGCTAATCTTACCTGAGAAAGCTCGCTCTGGGGGGAACATCTCCTAAATCATTTACTTTATAGGACTGCTTAGGCACGGGGTCACTCATAAAATCTGTGTGAGCCGCTCCGAAGCCCATCATAATGAAAGGGACACAAATAGTAAGTGAATGACCAGCAAGGCGATTATCAATCTGGAAATAGACCACAGCGCATCTTGGGAAAGAAGGAATATGAGATACGTGAAAGGTGAAGGCTCTGTATCTCAAGCAGTTACTAAATGATAAGACAAATAAAAGAAAAGCCAACTCAACCGGGGAATGAAATAGACTATTTTCATTCATCGATAGCATCTCACAAGCGGAAGGAAGGAAGACCACTGAGCACAGCGATTGGGCGCATGCGCTCTGGTGTAACATCAAAAGCAGATCAGCCTGTTTCCCGCGTGTGCTTCGAATGAGACACCAAACGGGCTTATCAAAGGCGAGCGCCACTGAAAGATAACCTGAACCTTCTGGGTCATGTAGGATGGGGACTGATCACTCTTAAATTACGGCGATCCTGAGCTACCCTTCACGGAAGGAGATGGCGTTTTGCAAATGGGTGAGCACCCTTTGATTAAATTCAGTAGTTCTCAAAACTGTGGAAGGAAGGAAGGAAAGAAAGGCAGAAAAAAAAAAGAAGAGACTCTGTATCTGTGATATATTATAGATAATTTAATCTTTACCCTCCCCCTCCAGGTGTCCCATTTCTAAAAATATCCCTTTCTCTTCGTTTGACAAAGTAACAGTGGGTATCTATCGAAACCCTCAAGGCATCTCCCATAGTTTTTCAGCAATATGGGAACTTAGTGTAAATTGCTACATTTATCAATTTTGATGAGAGCTGCCCAGATCAAAAAAAAAAAAAGGTTCTAATTCTGACTATTTTCAAACTGAAGAACATAACAAAAAAAGAAGCAGACTCACAGATATAGAGAACAAACTAGTGGTTACCAGTGGGGAGAGGGAAAGGAGGAGGGGCTATATAGGGAGGGGGAGTGAGAGGTTCAAACTGTTAGGTATAAAATAAGCTACAAGAATATATTGTACTACAAGGGGAATATAGCCAATATTTTATAATAACTATAAATGGAGCATAACCTTTAAAAATGGTGAGTCACTATATTGCACAGCTGTAACATATTTTACAGCAACTATCCCTCAACTAAAAAACATAGAAAAAGTTTTTTATAGTTTTCCTTACTCCTTTGCAGAACTTAGAGGCAGGTACTGATACTGAGGGTATGTGGATTTAGTGTGAATGTAGAAAGGTTTTGCAAGGAGTACACAGGAGGATGGAATACACTGTTTCTGGAAATGGTGTTACCTTTTTCGAAGGCTGACTTGCCAGGGCCAGGAGTGTGGGGTGGACACGCACCCACCTACAACCCTTCCAGGACACTTCTTCGGCTCTACCTGGGGCTTTCCACAATCAAATGAAGAGGAAGCTGTGGCACAAAGTGGGAAAAATTTGCATTTGAAGACGTGAGAGAGCAACTCGTGATAAATTCATGGCTCGTGGCCGAAGCACTGAATTTTTGACATCCCAAAGCCCAAACTAAATAGTAAAATCATAAACAACTTTTGGAATATTTTTTCTAAGTTTCAAGAGTGGTAGGGGACAACAACATTTCCTTCTCCTTTCAAGAAAATATAAGTACTTTTTTTTTTTTTTTTTTACTGCTTTCTTAAGGAAGTGATTAAATAAATTTGGAAGAATCAGGCATTAGAATGAGAGCTTTTTGGAGAGGAGCTTGACTGACACAAACTGTTATTCTGACTTGATGTGATATATCTAGAGAGTGAATCATCGTCACCATCATCTGAACCAGGTAAAGTTTACTGAAAACCGTACTTGTCATCCCCATTGAAAGGCACTGAGAGTATTTTTAAAATGTGAATCTCTGTGTGTGCACGTATGTGTGCATGTGTTTGTGTGTGTGCACGCAAGTGTGCGTGTGTGTGTGTGTGTCTGTGTGTGTAGCAAGCATAACAGTCCTAAACTGAAATAATGCCTTCTCTCAGCCAGTTTCAGGATGGCTCTTCCAGGGAGCCTCCCAAGACTAACCCAATGCCACGGGGATGACTTCCGTTCGCTTGCCTTCCTCTCTATTCACTCTCCCACCTGCTTTCTCTCTCCACCTGGCCTGCAGGGTTCCTGGAGATTAGGGTTAATGCTCCATCTCTGGTTGGTGCCACTTACTAATGTCTAGAACAGTTCAGGGGCTACACAAGGTATTCATAAAGGGCTTCTCTACTGTCTGGAGCCCTTTAAGATCTTCAAAAACAGAAGCATAAATCATCGTTGATAATAACATTACAAGGAGAAACTTTTTGCTCTTAATCAACCAAGAGATTCTATCTAGTGAATCTGGAATCTGAATTTTCCAAATACCTTTCCAATTGTCTTGGCCTATTCTGAGAATCTATATACAGAAGTTTTTTTTGTTTTTTTTTTTTAAAGAAGCATGCAATATAATGAAACCCTACTCTCTAACACTGACCTTAATTTCTCTTACTGTGTCTTACACAGGATAGACTTACAGAAATGGACTAAGAAAAGAATAACTACAGATATTATGGTACCCTGGTCTTAGTATTCAAAACAAAACTGAAGTTCTATTTATTTTTAATTACTTATTATTTGTACTGTTAGTGTTGGTGGAATTGAAATGAGTTGTTAAAACCAATTAACAAAAATTTACAATTTAAAATAAATGAATATAAATAAAATTATGTTTAAAATGGGCATCTTTCAATTTTTATTTTATTTTATTATTATTATTTTTTTGTGATACGCGGGCCTCTCACTGTTGTGGCCTCCCCCGTTGTGGAGCACAGGCTCCGGACGCGCAGGCTCAGCGGCCATGGCTCACGGACCCAGCCGCTCCGCGGCACGTGGGATCTTCCCGGACCGGGGCACGAACCCGTGTCCCCTGCATCGGCAGGTGGACTCTCAACCACTGCGCCACCAGGGAAGCCTGCATCTTTCAATTTTTGAAATTAATATTAAAGAGAAAAACAATACAATCCCTTGATAAAATTGAGAAGCAGAATACTGAGCTGAATAGATTATAGCTCTGATTTCAAATTGTTTTACTTATGCTATTACTTATGTGCAATTTGCATGGTGCCATTGTTTTAATAACACAGAATATTTACACAAATTTTTCAGGTGAGTTGCTTAAAGAAGCTTACGTGTAGCCTGAAAAGTTAATCAGTGTTACTTTTTCATTTTAAAGATGTTTTCCATGTGAATTACAGACGATGTAAAGTTTGGAAATTTTAAGGAAAATTGCTATTAGGAAATTTCTCACTTACATAAAGGAAATCCAAAATCTCCCAGGAATAAGCAATAAAAATCTTTTTTAAAAAAGCAGAGAAAATGAAAATAACCTAAAAAAACAAAGTCATACTTCAAAGAGATTTCATATTCTGTAAAATCTGAATAAACTTATCGAAAGCCATACAAGCACACACACAGAAAGTACCCTTAACCTGGGATAGCCACCCTTTTAAGCACCGACCTGACATGTTGGAGGAACTGTAATTTGAGATTTCGTTCATTTATTTGAAAACATATTTGCTGAATTTACTTATTCAGCAAATATGTATTCAAATATGTATACGTAGTGCCTGGCATGTACTAGGCATTGCTCTAAGCACTAGAAAGAAGGACACAGCTGAGGTTTGTAATCTTTACCTTCTGATGGTGGGTACGTAAAAAGATGTTGCACTGGAAGATTCAACAGAGGCCCCAAGGATGCCCGGGGATGTGTAAGGTAAACCTCCATCTGCAGACATCAAGGCAAATAGCCTCTTCTACAATGCTGGTACACTTACCCAAGTCAAGGATGGAAAAGAATCAGGTTCTTAAGATGGAAGAAAGAAGAAAGAATGGAGAGAGGGCTGTTCCAGCGGACTGTGAGGTTCCCGCTTCCTCATGATGTGGGCACGTTATCAGACCACGTGGTCTGATCTTGAAACATATTTCCTGAAGAAGGATACCCAGGCCTGCCTCACACTTGAGAAGCTGATAGCGTCTGGTGGTGACTGAGGGCTGCACCTGGGACGTTACTGTACTTCCCTTCAGTGGGAATCAGAGGTGCATGAATCCCAGGCACAGCTGTAGAGGCCGGGGCGGGACTGTCAAGCTATACAAGTTAAAGGCAATCGTGCCACATAGGCAGCCTGTCCAGGATAGCGAGGCCACGCGGTAAGAGGCAGTGGGGTACCAGAAAGCTTCAGGGTGGCAGGGAGGAGTGGAAAGGGAGGCGCTAACCCCACCAGGGGCTCTCAGATGGAGGGCCACCAAGAGAGCTTGTGCACAGCAAACACACACTGGAGAACGAGTCAGCTATAAATTCCCCAAGTCCAGAGAGCACAAGGACAGCAACCAAGTAGAATCTTTTCTGTCACCCTGACCTCTCCCTCCTCCCCCTGCTCTACCCAGCAGTGGCCCAAAATCAAAGCCCGACAGTGTGGCTCCGGAGCTCTCAACCCCTTCCCCAAACTGCCTCCCAAACCATCTCTGGACGTGGACTTAAGTGGCTTTGCAGCAGCAACTTCTCTGCTCCAGCCTGTCCCCGCACGTGGCAGACACAAGCAGATGCAATCAAACGGTGCAAAGGAGAAGTCCAGACTGATTAGCGGGAACCAGGACAGATGGTGTTTGCAAAGATGGATCAGCGGAAAGTAAGATAGGGTCCAAATCAAAGTGGTTTACATTGTTCTCCAGACCTATCTATGGATTTGTTACCTCTATCTATCTATCTATCTATGGATTTGTTACCCCAGACTTTTCAGAACTAACATCAACTCCCCTTTCCCTGATCCAAGCTTCTCAGTCCCTAGAAAAGTCCTATCTATGGACTTGTTACCTATGTATGGATTTGTTACCCCCAACTTTTCAGAACTAACTTCAACTCCCCTTTCGCTGATCCAAGCTTCTCACTCCCTAGAAAAGTCTCAGAGAAATGAGGAAAGAACCCAGCAAGCTTCCTCTAAGTTGTCTGACTAATGCATGGCTAATGCATAGTCATCTTAGCGTAAAGAAAGTTGGGGCTTTGTAAAGAGCTGTGTTACTTTTCATTGAATTCTTAGGATGACAGTTTATAGGTTTACAATGTATGTTGTATGTTTAGCAGTTTCCTGCTGTTTGTACTTTCTTTCTTCTCAGCTGCTGAAAGAGAGAGCTTCCTATCTGGGTGACTCTAAATTTGTGTTTCATGCCTCCCACCCCAGACACTGGAGAGTTCAGTGGAACTGTCTGGAGGCTGAGTAGGTCACCTCTGAAGTTGCTCTTTTGGAGAATTTTGCATTTATTTTGTTTACGGAGTCAGAGGAGGGGGCGGTGCCTAACAAAGGGGGCCATGAGCAGGACAGATTCAAGAGGCCCAGGATGAAAAGAGGGCTCCCAAGGAGAGGGGACCCTCTCTTGCCCAGAAGCGCTCAGCCCAAACTCTTGTCTTGCAGATGTAAGACCAGGTGATGCTGCATTTATTTAGAAGTCATTTCCTTCCAAAAAAGAAAGAAGCTTACCACAATGAGGGACATCACAGTAGTCAAAAAGTTTTCTTGGATTTGTCGTGTAGCACCAGGGACCATTGACATCACCATCAGGATTGCGGCAGTACTGGAAAAAGAGGCTGGCATATAGGGGGTGGCACACACCGAGGCGGGGGAGGGCAGAGAATGTCACATGAGGCTGGCATATAGGGGGTGGCGCACACCCGGGCGGGAGAGGGCAGAGAATGTCACATGAGGCGCAGACACTGGCTTCACTGATGTCCTGAGAAGATGAAGGGTTAGTGCTCCTTTGGGGGGGAGGCAGGCAAAGCTATCACTTCAGGATGCGTGTCAAGCCTCTGACTCACAGAATGCCATCCGTCACTTCTCGTTCAAAAGGAGCTCCAGCCTTGAGGCCACTCCCCTGGGGAAGGGGTGAAGACCCTGAGGCGTCTTGAGGTAGAGACTGTATAAAGGGGCCTCTCCGCTCAGCAGCCTGTGTCCGTGGGGACCATAGGGACCCGGCAGTAGGGGACTGTAGACGTGGATGACTCGTGGCTGTGGCTTCAGAATTGCTTATTCCCCTGGCCTGGGCACCCTCTGTGGGTCAGCTGTGGAAAGACTGTGTCTTCCTTTTCCTTCCCTCTACACACCTATACCCCAGAGGAAACCACCCCAGAGAATGTGTGGGACTAGGGGAAATCCTAGTGGAGTCCTAATTACGCATCCAGTTTTTTTCTAGAAGAATCCAACTACAATGTCATGAAGGTCATCTTTGATCACTGGAAACCATAAACCAGTAACAAAAGCAGACAGGAAATGTCACACATGGAAGTGATAAAAGCAGGGAGGTTGGCTTGCCCGTGCTAACTCTCCCTCCCACGCTGAGGCTGGTTAGATCCTACGCTTGGTCCCCTGAAATCTCTCGCACATCTTCCTCTCCACCCCACACTGAAGCTCAGTCAGGCTGACTTTCTGTAACAGAGGGTCAATTCAGCCTGCAAAGACTTGTCAACAAAAGGCAAAATCGAGTCCAAATCAAAGTGGCTCTTACATTTTTTTCCAAACCTGCCCGTGGGTTTGTCTCTGGAGTGAAAATGTTGTGTTTGTGGGGCTCCTGGGCAGCCCACTCCTGGCAGGAGACACCGGCCACCGTGGTCGCCTTCTTGCCCCGGTATCCTTTACCAGTGCCGAACATGCAGTCTGTCGGGGAGAGAGAATGGTGGTCTCCTGTCATTACACAGAGCCGGGTGACAAGGAACAAACGCAGCAGTGCTAGGTTTCTCTCAGGACAGACTGTGGTCACATCCTTCAGAACACAGGAGTGCTAAAGACTTCAGTGAGCTCTGCTGAATTTGACAAGTTACCAGAAACGCTATTGGCTCAGAAATAATCACAAGCCGAGATGTTAGAATGGGAAGTTTGGCCAGGACACTAAGATAATCAATTTTATAACAAGCTGAGTGGTAACACAGATGCCACCGTGAACTGTTAGATGATTCTTGAACACCTCAACAAGGATGGAGACAAAGAGTGCGGATTGAAAAGGATTTTATAAAAAGTATTATTTTGGCCAGAGCTGTGCTGTGAGTTCCCACCTTTTGGGATGAAAGAGGTAATAAAGAGATGACTAGAGGCCCCTTCCCCAAACTCATCCCTCACCTCAAGCCTTGCGGTTGGGGGATTCGGCAGAACCCCTCAGAGAAATTGATGTGTGTTACATATGGGGACCCAGTGCCCAGTGCTCTGATGGCCACATGGAAAATCCACAAAGCAAAAGCTGGGCCAGCTGGCTTCCAGGTCAAGGAGGAGGGCTGGGCTAGGCAGCCTCCAGTGTTTTCCAGGGCCAGGGTGTGTGAGTTACTCATGCACCAAGTGTGGGGCATCACGTGAGGCCATGCGAGGTCTTATCAGGAGGGATCCCCAGCTGGAGTACAGCACTCAGAGTCTCACCAAGAAAGAGTGGGGAGAGATGAGCTGGCCCTGTGTGTACAGCATCTGTACAGGTGTACAGGTGTACAGTAGGGAGCAGTAGGTGAGGTTTCTCCAGCATCCTGGAAGGAGCAAGTCCACCTCCGGAAGGAGAGGGGGGTCTCAACTTGAAACCAAGTTCTCATTTAATCATTTCTGTCTGATTTTGGATTATCTGAAAGTGGTCAGACAAGCCATGGGACCCCTGAGTTTTCATTCCGGGGCAGGGGGAGAATCAGCCCCCTCTGTTTCCTTACCCTGCAGCGGTACAGAGCACTTCCTGCCACCTGACAACCACAGGACCAGGGGCTAAGCACTTAGAGCGACACGCGGGCGAAGGGCCGGGGAAACAGAGAGGACTGTGATATCTTCATGTCTCCCTCCTCAGATGACAACGACATTCTTGTGCTCAGGCCCCGAAACCCTTGGAGCTACATGTCCACTTCGCCAGGTGTTTGTTGGAGATGATCTTTGACGGTCCTCCTAGCCCTCCTAACTCTGTACATTCAAAACCAAATCAGCCATTTCTATCCCTCCATGCAAAAGGCAGAGACTTGCTTTTCTAGAATGTCCCATCTCGGCCACCATCATCAACATGTCAGTCCACCCAGGCTCAAAATTGTATCCATCCCTCACAACCAACTAGTTTTCAAATCCTAAAGAAACGCCCTACCCCATCATGCCAGCAAGAGCAGCTCTGGCTCCCCCAGGTGATACACTGAGGCTTCCTTCCATATCGCAGACTGAGCCAGCACTCCAGCTCCCTGTAACAATGACGCCTCTGCATCCCAAAGATTTTCCATCTCTTATCATCCCGATACCCAACTATATAGATGTCTAGCCACAGACTTCTTACCTGCTTCAGAAGGATCCTGTATACTTGGAACCTGGGCAGCAGTTGGAGATTCTGTGACCTGCTCTTGTGTTTCTGAGCATTTCTTCAGGTTACAGAACTCCCATCTGACGCTCGGATCAGTGGTATAACACCAAGGGCTTTTATCAGCATCTGGATTTCTGCAGTAGTTCATTGTCAAGCCACTGTAAATTCCACAACAGTAGAGGTCATGAGAGGTGAGCAAATCTTCAGGGGCACCCCAGCACCCTCTGAATTTTGTTACAACAAAGTGACTGAAATATTTCCATTAAGGTACCAAAGGTACCAATTATTATTATAATGTCACAAGCACAGATAGTCCTCAACTTCTTACAAAGTGGGTAAGTTTTTAAAAATAGGTTATAGTTTTTATTTTAAAAAAATCAAGGGACTTCCCTGGTGGTGCAGCGGTTAAGAATCCGCCTGCCAATGCAGGGGACACGGGTTCGAGCCCTGGTCCGGGAAGATCCCACATGCCGTGGAGCAACTAAGCCCATGCGCCACAACTACTGAGCCTGTGCTCTAGAGCCTGTGAGCCACAACTACTGAGCCCACGAGCCACAACTTCTGAGCCCACACACCACAACTACTGAAGCCCACACGCCTAGAGCCCGTGCTCTGCAACAAGAGAAGCCACCGCAGTGAGAAGCCCGCCGCGCACCGCAAGGAACAGTAGCCCCTGCTCGATGCACTAGAGAAAGCCCGCCCGCAGCAGTGAAGAACCAATGCAGCCAAAAATAAATAAATTTGTTTAAAAAGAAATCAAAAGTAATATATGCTCCATATAAAAACAGATCATATATAAATTTATAAGAGAAAGTATCAGAATATCTTCCTTTCCCTGGGAATGTTAAATACATTCCCCAGGGATAACCAATATGGATTTTGAAGCATGTATTTTAGAGTTTTTTAAAGGCACATACAAATATATCTATATCTCTGGCTTTCTCTCTCTCTGTGAGTACATTGGGCTACGTAAGTTGGAACCAATACATATTTATCCGAGGCAGAAAAGACATACAAGATGATACTGATATTCCCAGGCCCGCTCTCTTATTCTATTTACTCATACTGTATTTTACGATGAAACAAAAACTCAGGACAGTAATATTACTGTAAAATATCATAGGTAGATCAAGTGGGTTTGGGGATTGGAAGGCTTGTGGAAGCCTTCCTGGAAAAGTAGCTCCCAGGCAGGATGAGGTTTCCAGAGGATGCATTCTGGGGCATATGGGGAGGAACCCCAGACCCCTCTAGCTGGAGCCACTCGGGGACTGAGGGGAGGGGGCGTGACTAAAGGACAGTGGGATCAAAGGGATGAAGGGAGACGTCTGGATAGACCACAGGGTCTGTGGGAGCTGAATCAGAAACAATTGCATAAGGACGTAGCAGACGAGCAGCCTGGGGCTCACTGGGCAACTTGGATCCCCATGGCCAGAACTTCGCCCCAGCCTCTCAGAAGCCTCAGCCTTGGACACCCCTTTGCAGCTTAGACCCATGGCCTGAGGCTTATGAGATAGTTTGAAACGTATTATGGGAATCCAGCAACACTGTGTCTGTGGGTACTATAGACAAGTGACAGTCTCAAGCCCAGGCCCACAAATTGAGGAAGCCCGTTAGCAGGTTTCTGAGCCCTGGATGTGTTAAAAAGCTTGTCATGTGAAACAGACTCCTGCTCTTTTTTTTTTTACATCTTTATTGGAGCATAATTGCTTTACAATGGTGTGTTAGTTTCTGCTTTATAACAAAGTGAATCAGTTGTACGTATACATATGTTCCCATATCTCTTCCCTCTTGCGTCTCCCTCCTTCCCACCCTCCCTATCCCACCCCTCCAGACGGTCACAAAGCACCGAGGGTCTGTCACACAGAGTGAAGTAAGTCAGAAAGAGAAAGACAAATACCGTATGCTAACACATATATATAGAATTTAAGAAAAAAAAATGTCATGAAGAACCTAGGGGTAAGACAGCAATAAAGACACAGACCTACTAGAGAATGGACTTGAGGATATGGGGAGGGGGAAGGGTGAGCTGTGACAATGCGAGAGAGAGGCATGGACATATATACACTACCAAACGTAAGGTAGATAGCTAGTGGGAAGCAGCCGCATAGCACAGGGAGATCAGCTCGCTGCTTTGTGACTGCCCTTATTTTTTTAAGGTAGTTTGACGAGTTTTGATGAACACACATACCTGTATAGCCCACACTCCTAGTGCGATAGAGAACATTTCCATCAGCCCCAGAAACCTCCCTTGGGTCACTGCTCAATCAATCTCAGATGCCCCCCAGACGCAAATACTATTGATTTCTTTCACCATAAATTAGTTTTGCCTTCTCTGGAACTTCATATGAAAGGGCTCATACAAGTATGTACCTGTTATGTGTGGCTCCTCTCCTTAGGATAGCGTTTATAAGCTTTATCCGTGCTATTTGAGAGTGTCAGTAGCTCGTTCCTTTTTATTTCTGAATAGTATTCCATGGTATGAATATCCCACCAATTGTTCATGTTCTTATTGATGGCCACTGAAGTGCTTTCCAGTTTGGGGCAATTTTATGAATAAAGCTGCTAAGAACTTCCTGGTAGATCTTTTTGGGGGCTTATGCTTCATTTTGCTTGGGTGAGCATTCACAAATAGAATTGCAGGTTTGTAGGCAGATGCACGTTTAACTTTATAAGAAAATGTTGGACTGGTGTCCAAAGTGGTCGCTCCATTTTACATTCCTACCAACATGTGTGAGGGCTGCAGCTGCTCCGCAGCCTGGGCACACTTCTTATTTTGTGGTTATAATTCTTATTTCTGTAATGGCTAAAATGTTGAACATTTTTTCAGGTGCTTATTGACCATTTGTATATCTTTCCCTGTGGAATGTCTATTAAAGTCTTTAGCCCCTTTTTATTAGGTTGTTTGCCTTCTTACTAGTGGGTGGAAGGGATCTTTACACATTCTAGATACAAGCTGTTTGTCAGATATATGGATTGAGATTATTTTTCTCCCAGTCCCTGACTTGTCTATTTTCTTCTTTTTTTTTTTTTTGCGGTACGTGGGCCTCTCACTGTCGTGGCCTCTCCCGTTGCGGAGCACAGGCTCCGGACGTGCAGGCTCAGTGGCCATGGCTAACGGGCCCAGCCGCTCTGCGGCATGTGGGATCTTCCCGGAGCAGGGCACGAACCCGTGTCCCCTGCATTGGCAGGCATACTCTCAACCACTGCGCCACCAGGGAAGCCCTTGTCTATTTTCTTAACAATGACTTTTGATGAGCAAAGTTTTCATTTTATTAAAGTCCAAATTATAATTTTTTATAATGTTTTCTGGACCCTATCCAAAAATGGTCTGCCTTCCCCAAGGCTGTGAAAATAATCTCATATTTTTTTCCAGAAGCTTTAAATTTCAGCTTTAGTTTTAACCTTTCCTTTCAGGTCTAAGAGTTTTCTCAAGTGAATTTGACATGGCAGCTAGGAGTCAAGGTTTTGGGGTTTTTTCCTTTATGGACACTCAGTTGTTCCAGAACAATTTGGGGGAAATTTTCCTTTTCCTATTGAATTGCTTCGCCAGGTATATTGAAAATCAACTGACCATACATGTTGCGGGTCAGTTTCCAGACTTTCCCTTTTTCCATTTGTATATCTTTTTGCCAGTACCACTGATTCCTGAATTCCTTTGTGATTTCTTTTTTGACTCGTGGGTTATTTAGAAATGTGTTTTTTAATTTCCAAATATTTGAGAATTTCCTAAACTTTTCATTATTTATATCTCATTTAATTCTGTTGGCTCAGAAGACACCTGTATATTATTTTAATCCTTTTAAATTTATTGGGACTTTTTCAAGGCCAAGCATATGATATACCTTGGTGAATGTTCCTTGTGCACTTGCATATGTATTCTAAAGTTGGGCATATGTTATATTGGTTCATATTTTCCTCCAAAACTTCTGTATCTTCTCTGAATTTTTCATCTACTTGTCCTACTGTATTGTTTTGGGAGAATTTTTAACTATACAAGAGAGAAGTGAGAAAATCTCCAACTGTAATTGTGGACGCATCTATTTCTCTCTTTAGTTCTGTCAGTTTTTGCTTCATACATCTGAACCTCTGTTATTAGGGTCAACACATTTAGCATCGTTAACGCTTTTTACTTCAAAAATGGCCTTTTTATCTCTGGTATATTTCTTATCCTAAATTTATTTGTCTGTCTGATGTTAAAAACCATTCTAGCTTTCTTTTGATTAGTGGTTTTTTTTTTACATCTTTATTGGAGTATAATTGCTTTACAATGATATGTTAGTTTCTGCTTTATAACAAAGTGAATCAGTTGTACGTATACATATGTTCCCATATCTCTTCCCTCTTGCGTCTCCCTCCCTCCCACCCTCCCTATCCCCCCCTCCCCAGGTGGTCACAAAGCACCAAGCTGATCTCCCTGTGCTATGCGGCTGCTTCCCGCTAGCTATCTATTTTACATTTGGTAGTGTATATATGTCCATGCCACTCTCTCACTTTGTCATGTGTTAGCATACGGTATTTGTTTTTCTCTTTCTGACTTACTTCACTCTGTATGACAGACTCTAGCTCCATCCACCTCACTACAAATAACTCAATTTCGTTTCTTTTTATGGCTGAGTAATATTCCATTGTATATATGTGACACATCTTCTTTATCCATTCATCCGATGATGGACACTTAGGTTGCTTCTATCTCCTGTCTATTGTAAATAGAGGTGCAATGAACATTTTGGTGCGTGATTCCTTTTTGAATTATGGTTTTCTCAGGGTATATGCCCAGTAGTGGGATTGCTGGGTCGTATGGTAGTGTTTTTATTGTATTAATTTTCCATATTTTGATTTTTAACTTATTTATGTCTTTATATTTAAAGAGCATGTATTGTAAAGAGACCATAACTGGGCTTTGGTTTTATTCAACTTGACAATCTCTGCCTTCTAATTGCATTGTTTTATCCTTTTTATATTTAATATACTTATTGATAGGGCTGGGTTTAAGTCTAACATCATTCTATTTATGTTCTGTTTCTACCATGCCTTCTTTACTCTTTTTCTCTCCTTTTCTTCTTCCTTTTGGATTAATTGAATATCCTTATTATTATCTATTCCTCTGAGTTTTCATTTTCAGTGGTTACTCTAGGATTTACAATATCCCTCTCTAACTTACCACATTCAAATGTGTATTAATATTATACAGCATCATGCATAATGTAGGAAAATTAGAACAGTAATGTCTACTGTCATGTCATGTCATGTCATGTCATGTCATGTAATTGTAACAGTAATGTCTTCTGTATTGTCTACCTGATGGTAAAGACATCCAGTGAATTTTTCATTTAAGATATATATTTAATATATATATTTAGTTCTTAAATATATATATATTTAGTTCTGTCTTTTCCATTTGCCTCTTTTACAGTTTCCTTTCTCTTTAGCTTATCCATTTGATTCTTTAATGTTCCTATTTTTCTTTAAATCCTTAAACACAATTATAATATCTTTCAGAATTTTTTGTCTGCCAATTCCATCATTTCTATCATTTCTGAGTCTGTATTGACTGATTTTTCTCCTCATTATGGATCACATTTAATGATCTTTGCATGTCTAGTAATTTTTAAACTTCTGCCAGACATTGTAGATACCACATTACTGAGTGGCTTGGTTTTGTTATTTTCCTCTCAAGAGTGTTGACTTTTCTTCTGGAGGACAGTTAATTTACTTGGAGATCATTTTGTTTATTTTAGGATTGCTGTAAAGCTTTGCTAGGGTGTTTTTCTAGAGTAACCTTTATTCCAGGAATACACTAATCCTACCCCTAAAGTGTGACTTTTCTGGATTCCTTACTGAATGCCCAAGGTGTCCCATGAAGTCTCTCCTCTCTGGCTAGTAAGAATCTCAACTCTGCAAACACAGAATCTCCTGGTGCTGTGTGAGTTCTATAATCTCCGTTTATCTCCCTGTTCCCTGGTAGTTGTTCTTCGTCCCACTAACATTGTGGAATCTCTCCCTGTGCGTTTGCAGCTTTATATCCAGCCAGAGACTTCAGGAGAACTCTATACATATTTCTGGAGCTCCTTCTCTGCACAGATCCTTCCTCATGATTACCCAGCCTACTAAATCCAAGCTGCCTCACGAATCCCCAACTCCAATCTCTGTGTCCTCAGTTTAGCAAGACTGTTGTGGTCTGCTTTGGTTCCACCTCCTTGAACTGCAGTCCAGGAAGTATCTCCAGGAAGAAAACCAGGGTACTTGTAAATTTATTCTAATTTATTTTCTTTTCTGAAAAGTCTGTCCTGTGCTGCCTGTTGTCCGTCATGTGAAAACAGTTTTTCCATAAGTTTTACAGCTATTTATCGCAGAAAAGCTGGTCTGACCAGACCTAGCTTTCGTCCATCTGTATGTCCATTTTGCCTCTCAGTATCTGTATACTTTCTGACTCCAATCTGCCTTCTTGCTTTTGCTCCTAATGTTCTGGTAACTCATATCCCTTTAGACCACGAGTGCTCAGGACCCAATGTATCTATACAGGTCAGGTGAAAAATACTTATATTTATCACCCGGTGGTGATAAGTATTTATATTTATTACTCAATGACACACACAAAACGCCTTCAGGAGTTGGAGGATGAAATGATAAAGTTCCATAGTTGAAAGATCACACTGATCTTTGGCAGGTGCTGTGGAATGATGCTGTTTCTAAGCTCTTGATCATTTGTTCTTCTGAGCTTTTTACTACTATGACCTCAGCCCCTCTATATCTCCCACCCTGCTTCTGCAAAACTACTTAGGAAAGATAGCCAGCCTCTAGCTTCTCTTCTTTCCGAAATTTTGCTCTAAAGCAAAAGCTGCCTGAGATATTTTGTCTCATAGTCTGGAGCCAAAGGAAATTTGGTCCTAAGACGTTTGTTTAAAGCATGGCCCTTTTAACAGGAATTTAAGTTGGCTGTTGCTCCTCTAATGGTTAAAAATCAAAGACGTACGCATTTGGGTAGTTTCCTGGGGTCTTCAGGTGCCGGTGTGGTAACATCGATGACCAAGATTGACATTTCCTTCCTGTGATAGTAGTGGATGATGTCCCTCGATAACTCTGCCCATTACCCTGGTAGCAGTCCTGGGCTACAGGAGTTTGTTCAGGTGGTACTGAAATTGAAATAGAAGAAATCAGTAAATAATGACTAAAACAGAGAAATATGTGAAATAATTTATTAAACAAACAGAATAGTCATCTCTGGGAATTAACACTCTTCTCTTTTTACACATTGGCAGGCAGATGGACATGCAAAGAAAACAATAGATCCATAACATTCTAAAATTTTAAGGACCTAACTTTTTGGTAAATATTTAATTTAAAACTCAGAAAAAAGTAAGTAGGGCAGAGTGCTCATAGCTGGACATCGCACTCATGTGCAAGCTCTCTTCTATGGATCTCCACTGGGAGGTCATGAGAACAACTGGGCAGGTCTCCAGAAAGAGACACATTCACTGGTGTGGGCTGCCGGTGATGACAGGGTGACAGTGAGGAAGACATGAAAACCTTGTGCATTCCCCAAGACTCTTGGCTTATACAAAGCCAAAACCTCAAGCTGCTGGGGAGTGGGGCAGGAAGTGGTCCTGCACCCAGGACCAAGGCAAAGATCCACTGCCTCTCGGGGAGGTGTAGGGCGAAAATCTTATTACCCTGGAGGAGGGGCAGAAAATTCTCTTGTGCCAGGATACTTCACCAACACACAACAGAAGTCTGCTACTCTTCCACCCAAGACTCACCCCACATACAAGTTAGAGTTTAGCTCCACGGGAAGAAGGGGCAAGAATACTGAAAAACGTTACCTTCAAAGCCCAGGTGCACAGAGTCTATCTAAGGCTGAGGGTAAACCAGGAAGATAGAGAACGCCTACCTCCACCAAAATCTTAGCAGTGAGTAACAAGAAACAGTAGTCAGGTTAGAAGTGTGGCGTGACCCACGTCTGTGGTGCAGGCATGCAGTGATTGCTAACAATTGAGAAGGGATTAGGAATGCTGAGAAGACTCTTCAGCACCCCAGACCCTACTCTAAGCACAAAGTGACTGCACCCCATCACTGCAGGGATTTGAAACCTGTGGTTCACTTAAGGTAAAAGCAGCAACAAGGAAACTCAAATTCCTTTTATCTGTTAATTGTATCAATTCAATTATCCACATAACATACTGATAAAAGAAGAAGGGTGCCCATTTCAAAGTGTAAAGAATATGTGCTTCAAGAGTTATTGTTCCTCTACATATATATCCAGCATTTGATTAAAAATTACAAGACACACCAAAAAAAAAAAGCCACTGTTGAGTGATAAACAATCAACAGTGCCAGACTCAGTGATGACTCAGAGCCAGACAGAGGTGTGGAGACTATCTGACTGAGATTATAAGGTAACTGTGATTAATATGTTGAAGGATCTTGTAGTACCATATACTACAATACACATGGATAGGTGAAGAACTTCAGCAGAGGTGGAAACTCTTTTTTTTTTTAAAAAAAAAGAAGAATAAAATGCAAACACTAGAAATAAAAACCATGTTATCAGAGATGAAAAATTCCTTCAATGGGCTGATCAAGAGATTAAACACAACTGAGGAAAGAATCAGTGAACTTGAAAATAGATTGATAAATATTAAACTGACATACAAAGAGAAAGAGAAAAAAACAGTGGGGGGAGAAAAGTAGAACAAGCATATAAGAGGTATGAGGCAATATGAAATGGCCTACTATTTGGGTGACTGAAGTCCCAAAAAGGAAAAGAGAGAGAGAAAGAGCAGGGGAAAGAAATATTTGAGCAGTAATGGCTGAGAATTTTACAAAAGTAATGAAAATCAACAATCAGCAAACACCAGAAGCTCAGAGAACTTCAAGCAGGATAAATACCACAAATAAATAAGTAAACAAACAAACAGACTCACTTAGATACACCATAATCGACTGCTGAAAACTGAAGATGAGAGAAAGTCTTAAAGGCAACCAGAGAAAGAAGAAATATTAGATACAGAGGAACACAGATAAGATTTCCATCAGAAACTACTCAGAACAGAAGATAATAGAGTAACATCTTTAAAGTGGTAAAAGGGGAAAACAATTGTCCACCCAGAATTCTATACCCAACAAAAATTATTTTTTTAAGTTGAAGGCAATATAAAGACTCTTTCTGACGTACAAATGCTGAAAGACTTCATCATCAACAGACTTGTATTACAAGAAATGGTAAAGGTTAAGTTTTTTACAGGAAGAACATGACATCAGATGGAAATTGGAGAACCAACAAAAAGAAACGAAGCACAGCAGAAATGGTAGAAATAAATAAAGTAAATATAAAAGATTTTTAAAATTTATAATTGCTTTAAAACATGACTGTTCAGGGCAAAAATAGTATCAATTTATTGTGAGATCTCTAACATAATAGAAGTAAACTCTTTGAGAACAATAGCACAATATTTTGGGAGGGAGGAAATAGTACAATGTTGTAAGGTTCTTACATTATACATCAAGTAAAATAATATTCGTAGGTGGAATATGATAAGTTTATGATGTATATTGTAAACATTAAAAAATACTAAAATCAGTGGTAATGAGGCAATACAAAATACTCAATTAATGCAAAGGCAGAGAAAGATGAAAAAAGGAACAAAATTCACATAGGACAAGTAGAAATAACTAATTTGATGGTAGATTTAAATCCAACCAGGTTAACAATTACATTAAATGCAAACAGTCTAAACATCTCAATTAAAAGACTGAGGGGAAAAAAAGCTATATCGGGCTTCCCTGGTGGCGCAGTGGTTGAGAGTCCGCCTGCCGATTCAGGGGACGCGGGTTCGTGCCCCGGTCTGGGAAGATCCCACATGCCACGGAGCAGCTGGGCCCATGAGCCATGGCTGCTGAGCCTGCGTGTCTGGAGCCTGTGCTCCGCAACGGGAGAGGCCACAACAGTGAGAGGCCCGCGTACCGCCAAAAAAAAAAAAAAAAAAGATATATCATCCAAATGCTAGTAAAAATAGAGCTCTTATGGCTGTATTCATTTCAGCGGAAGTAGACTTTAGAGCAAGGACTATTTCTAGAGATAAGGAGAGATATTACATAATGATAAAGGGGTCATTTCTTCAAAAAGACAACAATCCTAAGTGTGTCTGTGCCTGACAAAGAGCTCCAGAATATATAAAGCAAACACAAAACTGAAACAAACAGCTGAAGCTGGAAACGTCACCATTCATTTCTCAGTAAGCAATAGAACAGGAGACAGAAAATTAGTAAGGATTCAGAAGAGCTACACAATACTAACCAACTTGACCTAATTGGCTTTTGTAGAACACTCTACCCAAGAATAGCAGAAGCCAGACTCTGCATGTGAAACAGTCACCAAGAGGACCTCATTCTGAACCACAAAACAAGCCTCAACACATTGAAAATAAATGAAATCATAAGGCATGTTCTCTGACCACAACACAATGAAACTGTAAACAAAGCTACTGTATATTGTGCTACTACTGGAGTAGAAAAATACAGAATGCATTGGAGCTCTCAGTAAGCTCTCATTGCCCTTGCTTACCTGGGGCATCCAAATGTTCCGTGGATAATGGAGAGGACTCACAGGATGGTATCGTGCAGTATTCCCACCTCACTTCACTGTTGGTTGTATAGCACCATGGACCTGTTTCTCCATCAGGGTTACGACAATAGTTTTCTTCCAAATTTCTGAAAAAGAAGCGACTGTGAGTTTGGTTTTCCAAAAAGGCTACAGATATAACGAAGTGCACATATGCTTGTTAATAGTGATGTTGGCTATGTAACCAGCTAATTCTCTAGAATTATACAAACTCAATAATGGGTGGGAACTTAAGCAGAGCAGGATTCCAGAGAATTATGGCACAGGTGCTTCTCTTGGGTGAATGATTGAAATATATTCCTTGGCTATGTCTAATGGAGCAAAATAGGTCTTTTCCTACAGCTTTGGGCACTGTGCTGTATGCTGGAAACACAATGGGTATTTTCTACACTGCTTTGCCTCCAAAAGCGTATATCATAGCCCTGGAATTTAAATGTTCTCAAGCCTTACTGTACGTTTAGTACAAATGTCAAAATGTTGCTGAAACCCACTCCAAGGTTACTGATTTAGTGGATCTACGATAGGGTCCAAGAATTTGTGTTTCTGACAAATTTCCTGATAATGCTGATGCCGCTGGCCTGGGAAACCACATTTTGAGAACAAGTGTTCTAGGAAAATCAGCGCTAAATTTCACTTCCCTTGCATGTGACTTGGCCAGTTTTCATTCCCAAATGCTGTAAGCCTAGGTTTCTATTGTCACAGACACCAAGGCAAAGTCAATGGGATTTCACTTTCCATCCAGCTGACCGGGAAGAGACCGGAGCAGACTTACCTGCAGGGAAAGTTTTCTGGGGTCCTGTTGTGCTTGTGGGGTGTCTGCTCACCCCAGCGTTGGCAGGTGTGCCCAGATACGGTGACAGCCACTGTCCCTCTATAGTTTTCGCCTCTTCCCTTCAGACACTGATATGTTGGCCCAGAAGATGGTGGCGGTGTTGCTTAAATGGGAAAAATACATGACAATGAATGTTTTTTAAGTAAAGGATTCACAGATGGATATTATGGGGGAATGGATGGATGCAGGAAGCGTCAGCCTGTCTTCTTTTCCACTCATCCTCCCAGATATTGGCATTCGAAAATTTTTTATCGTTTTTCAGAAGAAGTTGATGTGGTAGAATCGATGTTTCCAAGACCATCCCATGAGGAACTCCTCCAGGGACAAGACCCTTGGAGTAGATGCTTCTTTCTATATTCTGTTTTCTCTATATTCTCAGCTCATCACACAAGGTAAGGATCAACATGTGTCACATCCCACCCCAAATCTGCACGTGTACCAACAATTCAACTTCCTTTATGAAAAACAAATTATTCATTAAGTAAACATAACTGGATGACCCCCAATATTCCGCAAAGCCAAACAACAGACAGAGTCCATGGGAAGAAAGAAAATAGTGTCTCCAAGGAAAAGGGTATGCAGTGAGAAGTCAAGAAATTCTTAAGACACACTGCCATATATAAAACAGGTAAATAAAAATTTACTGTATAGCACATGGAACTATATTCAATGTCTTGTAATAAACTATAATAGAAAAGAATCGGGTGAAAAAGAATATATATATATGTATGTATATATATATATATATATATATAAAACCAAATCACTTTGCTGTACACCCAAAACTAACACAATATTGTAAATCAACTACACTTCAATTAAAAAAAAAAGTCTCAAGAAAAAAAAGAAGATGACAGAAAGAGAAACTGCTGCTCATGAGGAAGGAGGGCACCGAGGCACCTCAGCGTCCCGAAGGATGACCTTCAGTGTGAAGAACAGGAAGCCGGCCCTCACGGCCTGCTAAGTCCTTAACGGTCTCAGATGCCCTTGTTCAGTGCCTTGCTTCAAATTCTCATAGAAGGAAAATATTATAAAATTGTTTTCTCCAACTCATTCCTGCGAGGTCTACCATTTCATCTTCTCTCCCGACCTCTCTTCTCCTGTTGCTCCCTCCCAAGCTGAACATACTGAAAAACTGGACATCCAGAGACACCTCTTTGCTTACAATTAAAAAGAACTCTGGTTGATAATGAAATCCATGTACCAGAAGGCATGGGTCTGATTTGCCTTTAGCGCTAGAGAACCATAAGGGTCAGAGATGGCTCCCAAAAGCCTACATTCATCTGTACTCAAAAAAGGCAGAAGTCTATGTTACGGGACCAAAAAAACCCCATAGTAACTAGATACTCTGATCAATTACCTACAGTAACCAATAAATTGTTCTAAAAGAGTAATCACATCCCACGGAATTTATAGGGCAATTTTCAGGCACGGCACTCTTGTTACCAAGAGAGGGACAGGTGAAGATCCTTGAGGACTGGGTATGAGCATACTTACTACATCTCGGGATGTCACAGAATTCCCAGCGTTTGTTGGGATCGGTGGTGAAACACCATGGGCGGGGCTCCCCATCGGGGTTACGACAGTAATTCCTCTTCAGATTCTTGTTTGGAAATCTGAATGTGCAAGAAAGATTTTAACAGCACTGAACATTTACATCCACGGATGAGAATCATTTCAAATGAGCAAATATTGAGCACCTGCTGTGTGCTAGGCACAGCGAGGCACCCAAGGAGGTGACTGGATGAAGGTTATCCTCAATGTGATGACAATCTCATAAGATTAGTCGAGTATTCTAAGGATTATTTTTCTAACAGTTTACATGTGCAAAAATCATAGAATGGGACCAACTTTATCATTTTGGCCATCTGTAAAACCGACGTAAGCCAACTCCAATTATTCAGCTGCAAATAATAGCAATTTTTAAAACACAAAGTACTTACTGGCTAGAGATAGTCATCTAGTAAACAGTACAGCCGAGAAGTTGGTGTCTTCATAGTTTAAGGGAATTGTCCTCCTGATCTACCCGGTTCTGGTCCTGCTAGCCTTTAAGCTTATAGAAACTGAGACGGATAAGCTATGCTCCCGTGTGCAGGCCAGAGAGTCCCCTCAACCACAGGGACCCAGTGACTGAGGCTGCGAGATGCACGCCACGCCTCGTGCCCCTCTGGGCTCATTTCACGTCCCTTCCTGAGACCGCAAATGCTTAGTCAGGATGGACAGAGCAACCAGCAGTGGCTTAAGCAATCCTCTTGCAGGATTGCTTTCCTGAAAGTAAATTTACCCAATTCTGAGCCTTGAGGCTTTACTGTATTTCTTCTTTGGAATACAATAGGGAAAGGAAAATGCAAACAGCTGCGTTTTAAGGTAACTATTTGGAATGGAAGGTACAGAAATTCAGTGGAGCTGTTTTCTACACTGAAATCTGTGACTTAGTCTCTTTGCCTATAAGTTTTTATAAGCCCCGTTATAATCCTATAGTAGTCCTAGAAAGAAGAGAAAGACCGAAGCAGCTACAGAGAGGGAGGTGTTTTAAGTACAATTAATGTGTACAATTAAGTACAATTAATTAGAAGATGTAGAACATTGTACTGTAGAACTAATCATTACTTTCTAGATCGGAGACTCTTATTTCTATTATAGATTCATGATCCCCTTTGAGAAGCTAGTGAAAGTTAGGAATCCTCAACCCCAGAAAAATGTACTGATATAAATACACATAAAATGTTGAGGGGTTCACAAAGCCCTAAAGGCCATCCACAGATCATAGGCTAGGAAGCCTTGAATCTCATCAGTATGAAGGAAAAGGAAAGGAAGAAAGAGAAGAGGAAAATATTTGGAAAATACACAAGTGAGACGTATCTGTTTTTCTTAAACTTTAATGTGCCTACGAATTAGCCAGGAATCTGGTTATAAGGCAAATTCAGATTCAGTGGGTCTGAGATTCTGCATTTCTAACAAACTCTCAGATGATATCACTCTTCCATGGACCACATTTTGAGTAGTAAGAATGTATCCTTCATTTGCAGTCATGTGGGAAGATTCAAACTTTGAAATTCAAAAACATCAGGTATGTTCACTTTTTGAGGAATACTAAAATATCTAAATAACATTAAATTACCCATAACACTGCAGAGTCATAAACATCTAATTCCACTCCCAGTGAGACTTACTTGGCAGGAAGGTATCCATGAGCATGTGGGCTCTGAGAGTCCCACGCCTGGCAATCAAGTCCAGACACGGTCTTGGAAATTTTGCCCTCGTAATTTTCTCCACTGCAATGCATACATTCATCTGGGCAGAATGGACAAGAAGGAAAGGAAGAAAGAAACTGAAATGGATGAAGCGAAACGGAGTAAAAACTAGAATTCCACTAGAAATGTCTAATACCTTTGCCGCTTGTTCGATGTACTTTTCCCACAATCACTTGGCAACAAAACTGGCAATAAAGGCTTAATTTTCTAATACAATCTATAATGTCATTCTCTTTTTCAAATGGGAAAATTAGTATATTTTGGTTAATACCTACTCAACTATTATAGTCTTGACCAAATCCAGAAACTCCATAATGCCATGTCTTCAAAGTGGGATGTGTGGTCCTTGGTGGGTGGGAAGGGGGTGGGGGAGAGGTTGAACATAATCTCAGGAGTCTGTAAGTTCTCTACTAGAATTTTTTGATATTTGGGGTCCCCATTCCAATAACGGTCTTTAAAATTTTCTATGAAATTATTCTGGTCGTATGGATAACTTCCAAATAAGCCAGCACCCTCTCAAAAACATTGTGGATTTTAGTGCTAGGGTTTTTGCTCGTGTTCATGACCTCACACGGGAACAATACCCACCTAAAGGGACAGCGCTTCTGTTTTTATATTATTGAGACGCATGACAGGCTGTTTTTCTTTCTTACATCGCTTAAAAATGGAAACTTTGGAATACTTGAAAGAACAAGGTGCAGCAAAGTAATATAAGACTTTAATTTTTATGGGGTAATAAGGAAAACAGAAGCAGACTTGATGCAAAAATGATGCTCTCATGTCAGTGAAGGGCCAAATGACCTCATAACATAGTGTACAGGTAAAGGATCCCCATGGTTGGAATAGAAAAAGTGATGGGGAAGTGAGGCTTCACGTGGTACATACACTATCCATGTGGTTACACATATCTCACCCTTGTTCATTCCCCCATTGCACCAATAAATAGAGCAGGAAATGTGAAATGAACATTTTTCAATAGGATGTTTTAAATCTTTAGCATCGACTTTTGAGGTGCACTATTAAATTGATTGGTCCATTAAAACGATAGAATCCTGACTTAAAAACTGGTTCATTGCTTGGTTTCAATGAAACAACAAAGTCTACCGTGTTAAATTAATATTGTGTATTTGAATTGTATTGATTTTGTGGTTTTATTTTAATGATTTAATTGCAAATATGTTTTTGGCTTTATACTGTGTCAGAGCTTTGAGCATAAGAAGTTTGCATCTAGAGTTTATATCTAGTTTTATATTAGTCCCTGTTGAAGTACATTTTAATAAAAATAATTTAGATCAATCATGGAAAATGTGCAAAATTGGGCCTTTCCAAGAGGTCATGTGTTACTTGATTCTGTCAAACACAGCACTGATTGATTATTAATATCCCTGTAGAAAATTGATTTACAGCAAATTACTCCACGGACGAAGGGCAGATAGGAAAGCATTTTCTAGAGCCACCTCTGACCTTCACATTGAGGAATGTCGCAGTAGTCATATCTCGTGCCTGGATCTGTGGTGTAACACCAAGGTCCCTTCTTATCATTGTCTGGGTTCCTGCAGTAGTTCTCCTCCAGTCCCTCTAAAGGATGCTTTTCAGGCGAAAAGCTGTGGAGGATGAAAACGAACCACTTTGACTATATTTTTAAGATCAGCATGTCTTTAGCAAGGCAGGATAAGACGCCCTCTCTTTCCCATCTGTGATTCGAGGTGGTGTCATCCAAGTGCATTTCGGCTATGTGCTAGAGCATTCGTGTCACCCAGTTTTCAGTATCTCTGCTAATGGCCTGCTTCAGTAGAGTAGCTAATATTACTATTATTACTATGTGGACAGCCAAGTCCTGGAAGTAGAGCCAAAGTGTCTTTATGCACAGTAGAAATACAAAGCCCTCAAAAGCCTGCCAAATTCACGATGCATTCCTAACACCTGCTTTTGTCAGTTGCCCTTCTCTCTGTAAAAGTAATAGAAGTTAACACCCTTTTATCTGTGTGAACTCTGCACGAGGTATTACACTAAAATTTCTCTATGCATTCTCTAATGTAGTCTTAATAAAAATCCCTATCAGGAAGGTGTTATTATCCCCATTTTACAGATGAGAAAACTGAGGCACAGCCATGTGAAACAAATGAAATCTTGCCTAAGCTTGAGCAGTTAATAAGTAGTATCTCAAGGGTTTAAAGTCAGATGTGTCTGATGCCAAATTCCACATCCTCTCTGAGATGCATCCAGAATTAATGGGAGACTGGGAGGATGGAGTGAAGCTCATTTTCAGAGGTGAGTTGCTATATAACGATAAGAAATTAGATTAAAAACCTAAGACTTGGGACTTCCCTGGTGATCCAGTGGTAAAGAATCTGCCTTGCAATGCAGTGGATACAGGTTCGATCCCTGGTTAGGGAACTAAGATCCCACATGCTGTGGGGCAACTAAGCCTGTGCGCCACAACTACAGAGCCCTGGAGCCTGCACGTCACAACTAGAGAAGAGAAAAAACCCGCATGCCACAACCAGAGAGAAGCCCGTGCACCTCAACGAAAGATCCCGCATGCCTCAACTAAGACCCAACGCAGCCAAAAATAAATTAAAAAAAAAAAACCAGAAACAAAAACCTAAGACTTAGAATCTGAAATGGTAGCTCTTGTTTCTGGTTCTTCTATGTACCTGTGTCTGGTAGATTTGGTCCTCCCAGGATCTCATCTGCTGGGGTAGAGACGGCCTATATTATCTCTAAGGCCCTTGACATTCCATGATTTGGCCATTTGGTTTAATCATTTTAACCTCAATAAGTCTTAATGTGCTGGGAATATGAGACCTGCCCATCTCATAGGGATGCATAAAGGCAATTTGTTTGGGTAGGTGAGGGGGAAGGGTCATAGACACTAAATTCCCACTTGATAAGCATTGTTAATGAGAACTTAATCCACCTAATTTTATATTGGGCAAAGCCCCAAAAGGATGACACTAAAATAAATAATAGGCGAGTTGCAAGATAATCTGTTTTTCACAATGTTGAGGTGAACACATGGTATATTTGAATTAGACTAATTCACTTCTAAGCATAGCCATCTTTGGTCTTTTCTCAGATTCAGCCTAGAATTCATGGTTTTATAGTTCTTTTGTATTGTTCTCAGTCTTCCAGAAAAGCATATACGCAAGAATGAATGGAAAGCAGCCATTGTCTGCTTTTATTCCATAAATAATCGAACGGTTCTGCCCCAGCATCAAGAAGGTTCTCCCCATACCTGCTAGTCACATGTTCTGGTTTGAGTCAGAAGTAATGGAATCATTCTGAGTATAAGAGGTGAACACGGAGACGAAAGAGAAAGTCTTACTTGGGTGTGTGTGGAGAATTGTCGCTCCATTTTTGACAGGTGACACCACTTTTTGTTTTGGCCATGGTCCCCCTGTAGTTCTTCCCAGTTCCAGTCTTGCACTCTGAAAGATACACTGCAAGGAAGTCCAAACAGTGGTCAAACCCTTTCACAACAAGAAAAATCATGAAGAAGCCCTGCACTACTTGAACACATTGAGAGAAAGGACACCATCGCCCACTATCTAAAAAGACAGTCTTTTACGTCTAAGAGTTACAGTTATAACTAAGCCACGTGGGGCATTGATTCCTTTACTCAAAACTACCGCCCCTCCCTGTGCCCGGCAGACGCTGGGTGCTGGGGATGCTGGAAACACCAAGAGTAGGAACAGCACAGGCCCTGCCCTCGTGGAGCTTACATCCCAGTGGAGTCATGGGGGCCGGTTACGGAAAGTAATCAAGAACACAGATTGTGAAATAGACAACCTCGTGGTGACGCATGTAACAGAGAAAATAAACAGCATCATGAGAAAGTGGATGCGAAAGGGGATGGGGGCTTATTCACGAGGTGGGCAGCAGGTTTTCAGAGGTCGAAAGAGATCCAAGCCACTTCTACTTTTGGAGGGTCCCAGTAGTATTTTAAATATGAAAAAATGTCAAACAGGGTGATATGACTGTGGTCTACTTTCAATGTTTACAGAAGATGCTCGCAACCAGCCTCCACTTAACCAACGCACCGGTTGCCCAGTGGGCCCCATCCTGCCTTTAAACACGCTGTGGCCCACCTGTGGCAGGGTGGGCATCTGCGGCTGGCAGGCCACTTTCGGGTGTGCCCACCCACTCTGTTCCTACCAGTTTGGTTATATGCTTACCAAGAATCAGTTGCTTTTATTTCCATAACTTTTTATACAGCTCTATTTGATTACAGATGATCTAAACTGAGAAATGAATGGGGGGGAAAATGGAGCTTTTTTAAAAAATCAAGTTGAATGGTTTCAAGGACTTGAAAGAGTTGAATAGTATTTTTTTTGAATTTTATTTTATTTTTTTATACAGCAGGTTCTTATTAGTTATCTATTTTATACATGTTGGTGTACATATGTCAATCCCAAACAATAGCTATTGTTGATTGAGTACCTGCCAAGTGCAGGGCTCGGTGCCAGCTTCTTTACATTTATTCATCATAATCCCTGCAACAAATCTGTAAGGCTGGAATAAGGCCAACACACATCTCTGCACAAGGCTTTGTTGCCTCTTGTTCCATTACAAGCTCTCAGTAGGAAAGAGTAGTGTGGATGGAACAGGCAAAAAAAAGAGAAATGGAACCCGTGGTATAGTAGGGATGAACAAATCTGATTCCATATTGGATCTGTGTCTTTAACTTTTGTATTCTGTTGCTTTTGCTACAAGTTAAGAATGTTGCCTATAACCTGAAATATATAGGCTAGCCCATTCTCAAGGCTCTGACCTCTAAAGGTATAACACTTTTCCATTCATATAGAGACCAAAGGTTGCAGAACAGAGAATAACACTTATCTCGTTGGAGGTTTATAGGAACATTGTGATGGGACTTATGTGGCCAGCTGCAAGAGCAAAGGATTCCTACACCAAGAAGTCTGCAGCAACCACCCTGAGCCCCTCCCCTTTTAGTATAAAAGAAGCCTGTATTCTAATCAGGGAAGATGGTTCTTTGGGACACTAGTCCACCATCTTCTTGGTTGGCTGGCTTTCTGAATAAAGCCTCTATTCCTTGTCCCAGCAAATCATCTCTTGATTTCTTGGCCTGTCCTGCAGATAGCGGGACTCGAGTTGAATAGTTTTAAAAATTGTCATCATATCCACTGAGAGCAATCCATCCATATAGTTGATATGAGTTTGAAGAGAAGGACACTAATTATCGTAGACAAGTCACTAGAGTGTGGTTTATGCAAGAAATGTACCAGATAACTCCTGTTGGTGGCCCCAGGTTCAAAGAAAAAAAGCCTCTGCTTTACATCAAAAGGTGCCAATGTAAGCTTCTGTTTTCGGTGAAAATATAAAATATTTAAGGTATATTTGTGTCATCTTTTATGATTCCCCACTTTAGCCAAGTTTTTAAATTAATCAATCAATTATCTGGGGAAAGGACTTCTAACACACCTATAGCAACTACTGCTTTAAACCCAACGCTCTATATAAAGATGGCAGATATATCTTCATTGAGATATATTATTATAGTAGATATATTACACTTATCAAAAAAGTAAACTCAAGGTACTTTGGAGGCCAAGGGTCAGGGGAGACTTTTCAAAGGAGGTGATGCTTGAGCTGAAATCTGGGAGATGAGAAGGAGCTGGAAGAACAGAGGAGGGTCCAGGATGAAGAGGTGTGTGTTTGCCCTGCTGGAGGGGGGGCAGATGTAAGCCCCGCACATGAGGTAGGCTTGAATAATACAGGACCCTGCAGCAATTGGTGAGTATTTCGATTGTCTTCTAGGGCACTAAAGGTTTGAAGCAGGGAAGTTACAGACCAGCCGCTGCGGTGGCACAGCCAGTGATGGTGGCGGCTTAGACCCAAGTGGCAGCAGTGGCCATGGTGGCAAACGTAGAGATGTAACTAATTTGACACTGACCATTCCCAGAAAAACCCTGGCAGGTAATTTAACAGTGGGTCAATATTCCACAGTAAAGAAACAAGCACCAAAAAATGACTGACTTTTGACCTCTCTTTTATTTGTATGTACCCGCCAGAGTTTATATAACCTTTTGCTCCTTTCCATCACCTTGAAAACAGGCAACTCTTCAACTATCCAAACTAAGCCTAGAGGTCACCCCCATGATCCTCTGGTTAACAATTTACAAAGGACATGTTTAAATGTTAGCATTTTGCAGAGAGTATCCCACCAGCCTTTTAAAAAATCTGACCGACAGTGGGATTGTAAGAACTAGTAACGTCAACGGATAAACTTCAGATGTAATCTGCACTTTAGACTCAGGGATTAGAGCTAAACAGTGGGCTAGAAGTGTGTATAGCAGACGCACAGATAATTAAACCTAAGAAGATGAACCAATGTGTAGATAGAATCCTAACCTAAAAAAACACTTCTCAAAATCTTGTTTAGAGTTTTGTGGGGAAACTAGAATGTTGTAAGCCATTGTCAAGAATCAGTGAGATAGGATGTTTCTGGTTGAGTTCAACACCTCTGATACAGAATATTTGGAGAGCAAAATTGTTATCAAAATAGTCTTACTACCTCGCCAGCAACAGAGAATAGGAAATAGTTTTGAAGCATCATTATTCACTTAAATCTTCGTACAGACTTAATGAACTTTTACACGTCTTAGAAGACATGCAACTTCCGTAGGAATCTAGGCCACCCGTGATCCTAAACAACGAAAGATCTAGAGTTTTCAAGGAAACTATGGAAAAGGAACTGCAACTTCTGCACATTTTCAAAAGACACCATTCCAGAGTCTAAGGGAAATACAGACCATGCCTGAAAAAAAGTGGAACATGTAAGAGTAAAAATAAGAATATTTTCTCTATTCAAATGTTACTGCAGATTGAAAACACCTCAGTTTTGCTGTTTCTCCAGGTTTCAGACCAAGGACTGTGGTCCCTGCAGAACAAAACACCAAGATCATAAGAAACTTGTAGACTCTCCCTCTTCTCCTTAAAAATAAAATAAAATTTTCAGTATCTTATTTTCAGGGTCATAGAGGTGGAAGTGATTTTGTAAATCCAATCCCTTCGTCTTTAAACCAAGAGAAATGAAACTTAAAAGGCGAAGTCATATATACAGGTTGACGTAGTGGGTTAGTGGCCAGATCTTCTGACTCCAAATTCAATTTCACTACACCACAGCGCCTCCATTCGCTGGTCTGATAAATTACAGACATTCAACGGGCTGGGGGAGGGAAGGGGAAGGGGAATGGGGAGAAGGAAGAAAACGTTGTACGTACTTCTCTTCTCAAATAAAACGACATCCCTCATCCTAAGGACTGGGGAAAACTTGCTGTTTTCAGCCATTATCACACATTGTTGTTCTTTACTGTGATACTGGAATGCCCTGCAGAAGAGAATCAGAAAACACAACTCTTTTCCTTTATTTAAGGAAAGCAAAGTTTTATTAATAAGGAAGAGACTAAAGATAACTCTCTTGATGAATCGAGGAGCTCAGAATTTGTTACTTCCAATTCATCTTGGCACTGTATCAATGAAGCATCATCAAAGGACATAGGAACATGGTAGCTACTCTTGTTTTCTTCTACCTTTACCTTCTCCCCCTCCAAACTTTCTCTTTTTCTCCCCCTCTGTTTCAACTGCTTTATTCTTTCTTCACTAGTTTTCTTAATGAAGTGCCAGAACACTTGCTTTGTGCTGGAAAGAAGCAACTGAGTGCTTTAAACCCATTCCTGAGCGGGCCCACGTGGACTCCTGTAACTTCCCCTTGACCATGTCTCTGCATTCTACTCCCTTCCCCTCACACCTCCCTGCACTGTACCTCAGTCCTGCATGGACGCTGAGCCTGGCATCAAAGCCGTCCATGGCTTCCTTTCCTGCCCCATCTCCTGTGTGAACCTTTGCTTCAGCTGACTTTGTCCTTTCATCGTCCCTCTCACAGGTGCCCAGCCGTGCTGCCCTCTGCCTAGAATCCCTCCCGCATGGTCAGTATTTACTAAGATCTCACCCTTCAAAGCCCAGCTCAGTTCCCACCTCCTCCCCAGGCCTTCCCTGGTCATCTCAACTCTTAGGATTGTTCTTTCCTCTGAATCTTCATAGAGCACGTATGGATTACGTCACTTATCAATGTCTCGCATTGGCTGTTTTTTTTTAAATTTTTGTATTTTACCCAGTTTCTGTGACTACACCATAAATTCAAAAGGGCAAGCACTGGCTTTTGTATCTACACAAAAATCTATCATATATACTGATATATATATATCTCCCCATGTACCGACCACTGTATCAATGCTTTGTGGCTCCTTAGGGTCTAGGACACTTCTAGTCACATGATCCTCAATCAATATTTATCGACGATAATGTTAGAAACTAGAGCTCAGAACAATAGCTGCCGATGTCATGTGTAAAAATAAATAACTTCCTTTGGGGGCATTTTTCTAAAGGGGTCACTAATTAACAAGAAACCATATGGTTTCAGATACAGAGAGCAAATACAGATTCCAAACTCCAATCCCATGAAATTCCTCTTTCCTCTTAAATCCTATTTTCACTGATAAATCCCTGAGCAAATTTCTTGTGATCAACATAATAGCGTCTCAAGCAGCAGGATTTCTGCGTAGGCGCAGTGACCAAGAAAATACCTGCAAATGAAATCTTTTTCCTCCTCACACTTTGTTGCACACTCGTCTATGCTTCCTGTCACCAGCTGCTTCCGCGTCAAACTAAACAGGGAAGCTCCCTGGGTATTTACATAGTCATCCAGGAGGTCTCCGAGACCTACAAATGGAAGATAAAAGTGGCACAACTGATAAATGCATCAACACCGCTGTTTAATTCTCATGAATTTGCAAACTATTCGCTTTCCATCAACGAAGTAAAACTGGCTGCTCCATTGGAAGCAGAATGGGCGGCTGTGAATAAAAATGTTTAATTAGGAAAACAGTTCCATGAATAGATGGCACTAGGTTAAAAGATCAACTGGATTGTTAGGTTAATAGATTGGAACTCTTTATCAACTTCCATGTTACTACGTTAATGGGTATGAAACGTTAAATAAGAAAAAATTTGATCTGTTTGCTAGTAATTGCATATCATGATGGAACAGTAAGAGACATCCAAGGGCAACTTTGATGTTGATTTGTCCATCCTTGGGTATAAATAGGAACTGGAGGCCACTGTTCGATTCCCTACAGTGCAGACTTTAGTTGTGGCACTGTCACTTAAACTGATGGGATCAGCACACTCTGAATGGCTCCACCACAAGATACAAAAACCTTGGTGAGTTGATGATGTCGAGAATAAATAAGAGCTGGACTAACCCTTGACCACCATACATGGCCATTTTTATACTGGACTTGGTAGAGTGACACCTCACTATTTATTAAAGAGAAATCATTTTTGCCAAGATGATGACAGCTTTCTGGCATTTCTGAGGAAACAACAGCAGAGCCTGGGACAAACAATGGCCTTGATTTTCCTCGGACATAAAATCTGAGGCAAAGAGTCTGTCTGAAGGTCGCTCTGCCCCCTTGCTACTGCAAAGGGTGGCCAGGGGTGCCTCAGCCATGTTCCCACCGCAAGGCTACAAAGAGTACTCCTGAGACACGTGGCGCCTGAGACAGCTGTGGCAGCTCTACTCCAAGCCTGGAGACTCAGCCTCTATCCTTTTGGGATGGAACACCAGCCATTTTCATAGGGTGAGGGGCTAAAAGAGGTTAATTTCATGGAGACAGCAAAGTTTCCTAAAGTTTGCCTAAATGGGATTAGGCAACCTGGCAACTTTGACCACTTTGAGGGGAGGGGTGGAGATCAAAGCCAGGGTGAGCGTGTTGAAGAGTGGTCAAGAGAGGCGGTGGGAACAGCAGGGAAGACAAGTCTTTGCAGAAATCTGGCTGTGAAAGGAGCATTTCCTAGAGGCCATATGAAATCTCAGAAATTTTTAAAAAATTTTTATTGAAATATAGTTGATTTACAATGTTGTGTTACTTTCAGGTGTAGAGCAAAGTGGTTCAATGATACATATATATTCATTTTTAGATTCTCTTCCATTATAGGTTATTACAAGACATTGAGTAGAGTTCCCTGTGCTCTACAGTACGTCCTTGTTGGTTATCTATTTTATATATAGTAGTGTGTATTTGTTACTCCCAACCTCCTAATTTATCCCTCCCCCCTCTTTCCCCTTTGGTAACCAGAAGTTTGTTTTCTATGTCTTTAAGTCTATTTCTGTTTTGTAAATAAGTTCATTTGTATCATTTTTTTAGATTCCACATATAAGGTATATCATAGGATATTTGTCTCTGCCTGACTTACTTAGTGTGATCAGCTCCAGGTCCTCTCAGGAATTTTTGAAGATGAGACATTCTAGAGCATGTTTGGGTACTGATGAAAATTATCTAGTAGGAAGGGTCATAAAGGGTCACATCCTCATTCTCAGAAAGGCCATCCCTTAACACCTGAAAACACACACACCACAAGGGTGTGATGCACTTTCCTAGATTAAGACAAAGCTGTTTGCAGAGCCCACCCTCTCCCTGCCTCTGCTCTTCCTTCCTCGACCTGAGATTCTCCAAACTGGAAGGACGGATGGTTCCATCCTTGAATAGGAAGTTGACTGATGTTGTTTAACACACCAAAAAAGCACTTGATACATGTATCAAGAGATTATAGAGAAATAGATATTTTAGACCCATACCCATGTCGTCATCCTGTATTTTTCTCCCAATTGTTGCTCTCATTTCCAGGAAGAGTTGTGCTTTGGTAAATTCTATAGACCAGGATGTGACTTTAAAAACAAACACAAGAACTCTATAAAGTATATCCTATAAAGACTGAAATTAGACCTTTTGAAGAGTTCTTAGAAAGTAGAGCAGGCCGGGGTGTAAATGATATCAAAACAAGAAAATTTCCATTTTTATCACCCTTTAATTATGTTATGTTAGTATGTTTCATAGCATATGGCTGCTGAGACCCACCTTAGGAGCTGATACACCAAAGAAATATCCCAAAAGAGAATAAATTTTATTCTTTTGACTTTGAAAAGTTTTCCCCCAATAATTTCTTTCTTTAATTCCAGGGAACATGTGACAATGTGGTGTAATACACTTTATTTATTGACCAAGAAATATTAGACAAATTTTTTTAGTAACAAAAGTATTTTTATATTCTATGCTGAGTGTAGATGTATATTGGTACCAAAACTAGTATATTTTATTAATAATGTGGGTTTGTACTTTTTTAAAATCATGGTAGTGTGTATATGTACACCCATGCTTGTGTGTTTGAAAGAAAAGACTTTGTGGTTTGTGAAATGCAAACTGCGTTTCCGCCTGTCACTGAGAACAGCTGTAAAAGGAGATTTTTGTTCCTCTCCCTGGTCATTTCAGTGCACTGAAAAGATGAAACACTTCCACGGAAAGACAGAGTAAATGCCTTCCTTTCAAAAAGAGCTTATGCAAGTCTTTTTTCCCCCTTTTGGTGAAGATGTATGTTAATCCTGCCGCAGAGAAGTCTGTTCTAACATTTGGGTGTGTCCCACTGTATCCAGAGTTCCAGGTCCCGCTTCCCATAGACTAAAATAGAGTGTGCACAAAAAAATAAAGTAATAATAAAATAGAGTGTGCACCCCTGTGCCACTCCCCACAACCATTTCCCGTGAAAACCTCTTTATGCAACTTTCTGCTGTTTTTTCTTTGATATTTCTTTAGATGGCTCCACTAAATTCAAATGTATTTGACTCTGATTTAAAGTACAGCTCGTAAAATTTTATCTGGCTACTTATAAATTGAATTTCAAGTATCTATACATTGTTTATATGAAGAACCACTAACATAATGTATGATTCCGCTTATAAGAAATGTCCAGTGGACATACATACACTACCAAGCGTAAGATAGATAGCTAGTGGGAGGCAGCCGCATAGCACAGGGAGATCAGCTCGGTGCATTGTGACCACCTGGAGGGGTGGGATAGGGAGGGTGGGAGGGAGGGAGATGCAGGAGGGAGGAGATACGGGAACGTATGTATATGTATAATTGATTCACTTTGTTATAAAGCAGAAACTAACACACCATTGTAAAGCAATTATACTCCAATAAAGATAAAAAAAAAAAAAAAGCAATGTCCAAAACAGGCAAATCAGAGACAGAAAGTAGATTAGTGATCACCAGGGGCTGGGCGGGGATGGAGGTTAGGGAGAGGGGAGAAGAGGGGTTGGAGGTGACAGCTAAGGGGTGTGGAGTTTATTTGGGGGGGTAATAAAAATGTTCTAAAATGTATTGTGATAGGTGCATAACTCTGAATACTGAAAACCTTTGGATCGTATGCTTTAAATGGATGAATTGTATAGTATGTGAATTATATCTCAATAAAGCTGTCAAAAAAAAAAAAAGAACTACGAAGACATGCTTAGAATATTTTAACAGAGGTTTAAGCAAAGTTGCAAAAGTGGGAAGAAGCATCAGATTCCTTCTCAGAAAGCCCTGGCTAAAGTCCTGGTTTCTGGGAGTTTGGTCAATAGGCAAATAACGTGATTTTCCTAAAGACAGATTTCCTCATCTATAAAATGGGTATAAATCTACTACAATACCTATGGTATCAGCTAAATAAGCTGGACTTAGTAAAGGACACACGCATATGCATGTATGAATAAAAATGTGCCCGGCCTACCTCAGGTACTCAGTGGAGATTTGTTGAATTATTGTATGGACATCATCCTGCAGATCGATGCCTGTGATTTCTCCAGGCATAAGAAGCAAACTTATATGTATGGAAAGCCTTCCTTAAGTCATAACAAACAGAGAACAGGTCAACACAACCACAGACTGGTCAAAGAATATGGTCAGAGATATTTCATTGTTTACATTTGAAAGTCAGAAAAATACAACACCTTAACAAAAATGGTCTACGTTAACCAAACTAAGAACCAGGCGAAGAGACTAACACCTTTTGGGGCTGTTAGCTATCTGGGCTATTTTTTTTTCTAACTAAAATAACCATCACGTGGGCTCCATCTTTTAGACTGAAAACGTCATGCATTATTTTCTCTGCCCACTTGTCTCCGGTATTCCCATGAGGGAAACAAAACATTTCTTGAAGATTTCCTCATTCTTAGATCGTGACCTGGGAATCTCACGAGTCAAAAGCTAAATTCAACAAGTTGCACATGAAACCATCATGGATCTATTTTTAATACATTGCTAGGAAAAAATATATTGATTAAAGTGAAAAAAATCTCCGTGTCTTACCTGATTTCAGAAATAAAAGAAGTAGAAGGACCACCTCCATATGTACCATTTTGGGACTGACCAGCAGTGTCCGGAAAACAGTGTGTCCCAATCCCAAGATGTTATTGACTTACATGAGAGGAAATGCACCACAAACAAGATAATCACATGGAGTTAATTATTCTCTTGGAGGCCCATTGCCACTGTGCTCTGAAGTGTTCAAACATTACCTTGACAGGAGGATCTTACAAAATGTTTGAGAGCGGAGTCTGCAATAGATGCTGGGAAGCGGTGGAGGCTGCCCGCCCCCTTGGCTGCCCCACACTGCCTCCTGCTTCCCTCCTTGCCCCCAGCCCATTATCGTTCCCACTTACTCTTCTTTCCTTCCCTCTTATTTCACTCTCTTTCTTTTGGGTGAAAAAAAAAAATTCCAACAATAGCTAACATTTGCTGAGGACTTTCCTGTACCAGACCTTCTGCATAG